AATGCACATGTGGCAAACCGCTAAAAAATATTTAACATTCAATATTTATACTATACCGTTTTTGGTGTTCCAAGCTCCAAAACCAACCCTTTACAGGGCCCATAACTTCACGTTGTGTTAAGTCGCATTCAAGTTCATGCAATTTATCAATAAATAATCTACAAACTTCCATTGGCCGATCTGCCCATGAATAACCTTCAGGAATCATACGTCTTAGTTCTTCCGCTTCAGGATTCATTGTAAATGTAATAAGCAGGTCAACAGAACCAATTTCTCTGCATATTGTCATACAATTTCCGTATTGTTTTTGATAAAATTGAATAGAGCCACGAAAATGCTCATTCGTCATATAGATTTGTCCAATCGGTCCTTTTAACCCTAGACAATCGTTTAAATAAAATGAGTTATAGAAAAACCTTGCTGATCACGCAATTTTTCAAGCCAGTTAAGCAAAGCTCCAGGACGAACAAATCTTGTTCTCCCTTGCAGTGTTTTAATATATTGCACTTTCTGGGCTTCCACCCGATTGTTATAGGCAATAACATATAACTGAGCTAATTGTCCCCAGTTCCATAACCAATGTGAATCTCGCCATGATCCTCTCTGATGGAACATATATCTAATATACTGGGATCTTGACACCATATCACGACTGTGTTGGCGTGCCTCAAAAACAGGATCCAAAAACTCTTCACCTTCTCCAAGCTCTTCAAATGCTTCTACTTCTTCACCTTCATTATCCACAAGTTGATTGGCACGATTCAACTCTTCTCCTGGTCGAAGGGTTAAATTTATTCCATTCTCTAAGAAATAAAATAGAATCGCCAAATAAATTTCATACCGAAACCACATTGTCCTCTTGAAAATAATAAAGGAAAAAGAGTTGGATCTATATTCCTGTCCCACCAAGACATTTTAACTTGTCCGGTTCCTTGACGACCTTTCAGAATAACATCATAGTGTAACGAGTCTGGTACATTTGCCCCAGTATCCAAATAAATCTGCATAAATTATTTTAGAAATGTCATTAGTTTAATATAAAACCTGTGCTACCAGGCGACTTCCAGCAGCTGTTTGCGCTTCAAGTCTACCAGGATGAATTCGCCTTATCGCTTCAGCATCTTGAGGATTAATATCAATAGGCTGAATTTCATCGTCTTGTCTAACACGTTCAACACCAATCTTATTTGTATCAATCACTAGCATTCGAAAATTTATTTGCTCTTCTTCAGTCAAATTGCTATAAGCCTCTGATGCAATCCGATATAATGCAGAAAATGGATGATAGTCACGTAAAATGTTATGTAAAAAGATCAACAATTGTTGCTAAAAATATTTAATAAGTTTAAAAAATATAAAAAGCTAACATCTAATTCGACATCGGCTGCTATTTCAGTCAATCTATTTGCTGCTTCATTAGCAGGAATAGTAAATAGTTGACCACGCAACAAAGGCTGCTCGCCACCTCCAGGTGGGTTAAAATCCCATAACAAATAGTTGATCATATTATTACATTTTACGATCTTATGTGACTCAGTAAAATCTCGTTGTCGTTGAATTTGTATATGGCCAAATGCCAATTGATCATTATAGAGCATTGAATGTTTTAAAATATTATCACGTTGTGTAATTTTTGTTGGATCGGTAAAAACAACAAACAATTCGATAGGTATGTCTTGCAAAAAAGTGTACTTTTCAGACATACTGACACGGCCTTTTGCACAACATTTAGAATAAGCAGTGTTCCCAACGGCTTCGGATGGTAATAAATTAGCCTTGCAATATTTGCACCGAACATCATCCTATATAAATGTAATTACCTTTAAATAAATAATTTAATATAATTTCACCTTTGACAAAGAGTCATAATAAATAGGCATATGGTTTGCACCTTTGGCACCACATCCTAATCCAAAATGAGTACGGTCACAACGTTGAGTAATTGGGCTAAAAACTGGCCACGAATCCAATACTTCATTTAGACGTGAACTACATTGTGAAATACGGGAAGATCTTCTTAAAGTTGTTGTTGAAGCATGTGAAACAACTGATTCAGAAAAATCTTCAACATTAATTTCACGATTGAATTCTTGTTGCGCATTCACTTCATAATCAAAAGCTGCCTGTGGAACAGGATTTAAATTCTTTCGTGGACGGCCAGATCTAATTACTTTTCTTGGCCTCCCGCCTTTATTAATAGGCTCACTGTTTGTCAAATTAATAGACATCTCATCTTTAATAAATCTTGTTTAAATAATATAAATAAATTTACGATAAATTTCTTGCATAAACCGTTTTTGTAAAGGTTGGCCATCATTACGAATACTCAAAGAAGCATTATCTAAAGATCGTCTCCTTCTATTACAATCTCTTATTTTCTCTCGTCGTTTATACGCACTACTAACCATTTTAATAAATTTTAATCTAAATAAAAATTAAGTTTATATTAATATGTAGAAATATAACAGCTACCCATTTAAAGCCTGGGATGCTTAATATATATAAGGCTGTAATATTTAAAATATATCAAGTATTTCTCATTTGCAGGGTTTTAGTGGATCACCCTCACTGGCTAAAGCCTAAGGCTACTAACCCAGAACCAACATGTCAGTTTTATAATTCAAATTTATTATAAACCGAGCTTTTCTAAAGCTTTTTGAGCAAGCATGTATCAAAAAGCTGGAATTACCGAGGCTGCATTTTCCTCCCTCATGGTATATAAATATGCACTAAAAATCATATATCATTTATCGTACCCGCATCATCCAAGTCGTATCGGTTTCGGACAGTCGCAGGCACCTGTTCATTAGAGTATCAAGTTACAGTCCAGGACTGAATTATCTTGAAGAGTCTCAGTTTCAGTCCAGGACTGAAAATATTTTTTACCATTTTTAAATTTGTCTTTCAAAAAATATAAATTTTATATTTCCATTTTTATATTTCCATTTTGTTAAGCCGTTATTTTTAAATTTACAACAAAGGTCTCAGAATTATTCAATCTCTTTTTGAAAATAAACAAGTCTATAGGACATAAAAAAGACAAATCATCCTATCAAGGCTACGTTTCAACTGATGCACCGCATCCGGAAACTCACCTTGACAGGTATTCAAGTCGTATAAACGTTTTTTGCGCCCCGACAGACACCCGCACTTGCGTGCTAGGCCTTAGCAACCAACTACCAATAATAGTAGAAGGAAAATGCCATATGCTGGGGCTTTAACACCTTAATGGTATTAATAAGCAGAATATCAACTATCAGATTCAACGCAAGAATCATTATCTTCATACTTTTTTTTCATCATTTAGTCGATAATTAAAACATCCCTTTTCTAAAGGAATTAGCTTCAGTTACGCCGAGTTTCCTTGTGTCATCCCTCTGTGTAACCTACTAACACCCACCGCCGCGCGAAGGCTTCCTTCGTGGGGGCAACCTCCACCCATTAGGGCTTCACCGGCAAAACTCATGCATACAAACGAAAGGAAGCAGGATCTGGCTGCTCTCAAACAAAATCCTCTGGCACGAGTAGATTATTTGCCTTTCGTTGCATGATGAATTATATTTTTCAACCCTTGCAACACACTATGCATTGAAAATTAGAGTTCAAATTATATTCAGTAATATGACGCAAGGAAGCAGGTATCGGCTGCCCTCAGATAGATTAGTTTTTGCCGAACTTAACTATCTGCCTTTTGTCATATTACTTTGGAACCAACTCAGGGTTCAGTTGCACCATGCACCACTATCCACTTAAAATTTTTTTCAATTCAGCACTGCTGCCATCCTTTAATTTTTTGGAATTCCTCGTTCTAATGCAATGGTTTACTTGCATTACAATTCACATCTTTCGGGTTCACCATCTTTCGGGACAAATAAATATTAAAAATGGGCTGGCGTCCTGAGAGGCTCATTAAGTCTTAAACTCTACAAAAAGAGTCCTAACATGTCACCTCACGTTCAGTCACGGACGAATACAACTGAATCAGCAACACATAGACACCAGTGACAGCCGTTACACAACAAAAGTTGCGATTCAAGTTTGATCATACACAGAGCAATGATCCAGCAGTAGGATCATACACAGAGCAATGATCCTACAGCTACATTGTTACATCACATATAGTAATGATCCAGCAGTAGGTTCACCTAAAGCTGTTTCCAGAGCCAATTCTTTAAAATTTTAGTTATTCTATGCACTAAGACTGATAACAAAGTTAAACACACCCAGAAGCAATTGATAGCCGCAGGCATTTCGGGAGGAGGTTCGCGCAATGAGAACGCCAGTGCCGACAATCCATTACGGTATCAGAGCTCCAACGCATTGCTTTGATTGTGTTAATTTTGATATCAGATCTGTTATGAACATGAGCAATCTTTTTAAAGCACTTTTTACGGTTTTACAAGCCGTTTTCTTTATTAATATCATTTCAATTCTAATCGTATATTATTGAGAGGCTCTGATTGTTTTTTCATGCATTCAATTAATAACAATGAACGGTAGATGAAGGTAGGTGCCACTACTTTTACCCACACCTGAATGTTTCCAGAACAAAGTTTCAGGCTGTTCAATGTTATAATAGTTCAAAACCATCGCTCTCCCAATAATTAAATTTTCATGCACTACCATTCACCATTTGATTCAAGTATCACTCTATTGACAAACAGGCTCACATATTTTTAAACAGAACCATGAATAATTGTAGCGGCAACTAACAACTATTCACAACTGATTATACCCAATACGTACAATCAGCCTGTTCTGATATTTTGCTTTAACTCTCTCGGTCAATTGTCAATAATCATGAGTGTTTTTAACTATATTTGAATCTTGTTCGAAATAGGATTAACCGACTTTACAATTAGAATTGATTTCAAGGCTTCTGCAGTGCGCTTTGATTCTCGTGTTCAGTCAAAAAATATTAAAAATGGGCTGGCGTCCAGAGTGGCTCATTAAGTCTTAAACTCTACGAATAGAGTCCTAACGTGTCACCTCATTTTCAGTCACGGACGAATACAACTGAATCAGCAACACATAGACACCAGTGACAGCCGTTACACAACAAAAGTTGCGATTCAAGTTTGATCATTACATAAAGTAATGATCCAGCAGCAGGTTCACCTACAGCTACATTGTTACGACTTTTGTCCGGTTCAAGCCACTGCGATTATATTGGTTTCCATCAAAGTAATTTAAAGAAATTAAATCAACAGTCACCAATTTTCTCGAAATGGCTCAGTCCCGGGCAGCGACGGGCGGTGTGTACAAAGGGCAGGGACGTATTCAACGCGAGATGATGACTCGCATTTACTTGGAATTCCTCGTTCACGGAAAATAATTGCAATTTATAATCCCAATCACGGTAAATTAGCAATTGCTCACACGCCCTTTAGGGGCAGAATATTGCACCGGACCTCTAAGGGTATCACAGACCTGTTATGCTCTTTATTTTTATTGCTCTTTAAAGCACCACGATTCGCTGAATCATGAAAAAGCTATCAATCTGTCAATCCTCACAGTGTCCGGTCCGGGTGAGTTTCCCCGTGTTGATATTGCACCGGACCTCTAAGGGTATCACAGACCTGTTATGTTCTTTATTTTTATTGCTCTTTAAAGCACCACGATTCGCTGAATCATGAAAAAGCTATCAATCTGTCAATCCTCACAGTGTCCGGTCCGGGTGAGTTTCCCCGTGTTGAGTCAAATAAAGCCTCAAGCTCCACTCCTAGTGGTGCCCTTCCGTCAATTTCTTTAAGTTTCAGCTTTAGGGACTGTATTAGCTCTAGCATTAATTATCCAAATAGGATTTTCAAGATCAAAAGATCAATTTAACGTTCGCGGCATTTTTATAAAGCATGGCTTTTATTAATAATGCATAGCATTATAAAATATAAAATCGACTTCCTTTTGGAAGACTTTTTATTTTACTTTTTTTATTTTTCATTTCACAAATTTTAGCTTTTGCCATATTTATAATTACACGTATTCCCAAAGGGATTTATTAAAAAATTTTTTCAGATCAAGAATTCTAATTCCTCTTCATGTAAACTAAATTTGACCTAAGTTTGATCTTTCCGGAACGATCGTACCGTGATAATCCGCAGGATTTATGATATCTTTAAATCTTGCAACGTCAATAATTCGGTTCAAGTTTTACCAAAACGGACAATTTTGGTGTCGTTCGACTCAGCTCAAAATGCTCTTTCAAAATAGCTAGTCTTTTTAAAGTTATGATTGAAATTAGCGTTGAAATAATCGGATGAAGATTTAAAATTGATGTAGTTTAAAATTTTTAGGAGAGAATCAATCTGCTTTAGTGATGAATTTATAGGGAGGAATGTTCCACACAAAAAAGCAGTTGAACATGTGGTTATGGGAACACTTTTTAAGAAGATATAAGTATAAAATGCGGACTTAAAAAGTCAACTTTTGAGATCTTGAATTAAAATGCGATTTCGATGGCCTATGTTGTAGAGCGTCACATGAAACCCAGAAAAATATATACTTTTTTAGGAGGCCAATTGATTCTTAGAAAGTTATATGGCAAAATATATTAGTTTTCGAATTTTCGGGAACCTATAACTCAGCCCAATCTAGTCAGATTTCGTTGATTTTGGTGTCATTCGACGCAGCTCGACGAGTACTTTCGAATAAGCTATTAATCCCAATTTCGAATTTTTATTCCAAAAACAGCTTGGTCCCCCCTATTGTTTATAATTTTCAGGAGCCTGTAACTCGACTCAATCAAAACAGATTTTAGTGATTTTGGTGTCATTCGACGTAGCTTAATGAGACCTATCAAACGAGCTATTAATCTCGTTTTCGAATTTTTACCCCAAAAATCAGCTTGGTCCCCCCTATGGTATTTTGGTCTTTGAGAGCTTGTAACTCGACTCAATTAAGTCAGCTCGTGTTGATTTTGGTGTCATTCGACTCAGCTCAACGAGATCTGTTTAATGAGATATTAATCTCATTTTCGAATTTTTGAAACTGAAAAGAAACAGCCGCGGTAATACCAACGCTGCTAACGTAGCGAATTCTAGCTGCGTGCAAAGAGCTCATGGTCGAAAAATTCGAAAATGAGATTAATATCTAATTTAATAGATCTCGTCGAGCTGCGTCGAATGACACCAAAATCACCGAAATCTGACTTGATCGAGCAGAGTTACATGCCCAAGAAATTTAAAAACCATAGGGGGGACCAAGCTGATTTTTAGTTTGAAAATTCGAAAATGAGTTTTATAGATCATTCGACAGATCTCGTCGAGCTGCGTCGAATGACACCAAAATCAACAAAATCTGACTTGATCGAGCCGAGTTACAGGCTCCCAAACATTGAAAACCATAGGGGGGACCAAGCTATTTTTGTAATAAAAATTCAAAAATGAGATTAATAGCTCATTCGACAGAACTCGCCGAGCTGCGTCGAATGACACCAAAATTACCGAAATCTGACATGATCGAGCCGAGTTACAGGCTTTCGAATATTGAAAACCATAGGGGGGACCAAGCTGTTTTTGAATTAAAAATTCAAAAATGAGGCGATTATATCATTCGACAGAACTCTTCAAGCTCCGTCGAATGACACCAAAATTACCGAAATCTGACATGATCGAGCCGAGTTACAGGCTTTCGAATATTGAAAACCATAGGGGGACCAAGCTGTTTTTGAATTAAAAATTCAAAAATGAGGTTAATAGAGCATTCGAAAGAATAGCCGAGATGCGTCGACTGACACCAACAACACCGAAATCAGACTTGATCAGGCCGAGTCGAATGGCTTCTAAAAATTGAAAACCATAAAGAGGGCCACGCTATTTTCGGATTTAAAATTCGGAAATTAGAATAATAGCTCATTTGTTAACATTTATATATTTACAAAATCTTTCAGTATCAGACTGAGAGTTATAAGTGAGACTCAAGTGTCTTTTTTACTAAAAATTTATTTTTTAATATTCTTATTAATTTTTAGAATTTTTTAAATTCATTTCCACTGATTTTAGCCTTCAGACTCAAATATTCCACCCTCAGACTCAAGTGACCCCTTCAAAAAATTTTCAAAAAATTCGCTTGATTTTTACACGTCGAATGACACCTCAATCATATTTTTCCAATAACTACTTCAAAAGTTACAAAAAACGCCTCACCGTTGCTTAACTTTCCAGATCGGACGGTCTAGATCGTCAAAATTAAAAAGTTTTCCCCAAAATTTTAATTTTTTTAAAAAATCATAACTTTTTCAAAAAAAGTCGAAAAAGCATAAAACAAACCTTATTCGATGCAGAATTTAATTCTCTATCTTCCATCTTCCAAAACTTTTTTGCTATCTCCAAAACAAAATATAGTTAAGATAACTTTACACATTCTCCTCAAAAATGCACTTTTTACTCCATATCTTTTTTTCTGTTAGTCCAATCAACCTGAAACCAACTTTTTTCTTATGAAACCCACAACGCTCTACAACTTTTCTCCCAACCACTTTTTGCTCCCATTCCTCTAAACACCTTAAATCCAAAGTTACCACTTTGACATAAAAGCTTGTAAACAGCACATCTACCCTTCAAGTTGTCAGAACGACTTCAACTCTTTTTCTATCATATTCGAAATATGCTCTAGATGATACCTTGTAACTGACTCAACATTGCCCGATTTCGTCTTCACATTCAAATTTCCCATCAAAATTTCGCAATTTCATGTTTTTTCGAAATATCTAAAAAACTCGCCCCTTTCCCCCAACTTTTGGAGGTTTTCCTGAAAACTACATTAAATTTCCCATCTATAGCAAAAAACCCCACCCCTCTACAACCTCTCAAACTTCAAAAGGACTTTTTTTTAGCTGACTGCCTTTTTACTATTATATATAGATAATTGTTTTAAACAAACTTGAATGTAAAATAAACTTGAAATAAGAAAAAAAATCAAAGTTTATATAAACATGAAACTTTTTTAAATAAACTTGACAAACATGCAACAAAAATAAAGAAACTTGTATCGTTCAACCTATAGATGTGCGCAATGAATGGCGTTTTAAAAAATCCTTTCTTAAAATTTTTAAATTTGGTCAAATATTTGATAGAAAATTTTTTAATTATTTATTTCTTGAAGAGAACCATCAGGCGAGACAATTCGTTCACAATTTCCTTCATTAATTAGCCTGGATTTAAGTGAAAATAAAATTACTGTAAATTTATTTCTTAATAAATTAATTTCTAATTAATTTAAATTAATTTAGAGCATCTCTAGAAGCGATTTTATTTCATTTCCAAATATTGAAGAAATTAATCTGAATCAAAATAGAATTGTCAGTGTAGAATGGGAAGCTTTTCGGCTTCTAAAATTGAAGAAATTAATTTTGAGAGGAAATTATTTGCTTGTAAAAAATTTTTTTTTATTATTTTTTTTTTAAATTTTTAAAAATAATTTTTCTGAAGATATTAAACTAATTTTTATAAATTTCTTAAAAAATTTAAATTTTTAAAGACAATAAATGAACACATGATGAGAGACAGTCCAGCAATTGAAGAGCTTGATTTAAGCCATAATTTATTGTCTGTTGCACAGGTAAATTAGGAAAAAATTTTTTTTACAAAATTTAAAGCATAAAGATAAAAACAATTTTTTAGAGTTCCTCATTCTTCGCTGCACAAAAATTAAAATCTTTAAATTTATCTCATAATCGTCTTCACCGTTTTGATTATGATTCTTTCTCTCCTTTATTTCAGGTATTTTTAATTTTTAAAAATTAATTTTAAGAAAATATTTTAAGTTAGAATCATTGGATCTCTCTTACAACAATTTTAGTACAATCCCCGCAGATCTAAGACAATTTGTTGCCCTTAGAACGTTAAATTTTAGTGGAAATCCGATAACTAAAATTTGTGAAGGAGAAATTGTTCAGCCAATGCTACAAGTAATTTGAAAAGGATCTTAATTAATTCAAAAAAATAATTTTTAAATAAAAGAATTTGGATATTTCTAATTGCCCAAATTTACGTCTAATTGAACAACGAACATTTTCATTCACGCCTGTTTTACAATTTCTCAAATTAGCTAATAATTCACAATTACAATATATCTCTCCATATGCATTCCAAAACAGTTTGTTATACGAGTAAGTTTTAATAAACTTGAAATTAATTATTAAAAACTTACAAACATGAATTAAAACATGTTGGTTTGACAAGTTTATTCAAACAAGTTAAAACTTGAATTAAAACATGCTGGTTTTCTAAAACTTGAAACAAGTTTAATTAAAATTAAATAAACTTGAAGCAATATTAATTAAACTTTCTGAATTAAAAACATTCTTTTTTAAACTTACAAACTTAAGTTTGTAATTATCTTTTAGAAACAAACCTTAAATATTTTTAATATACCTAATTACAAACTTATCAGGCTTGTAATCTCAAACAATTCATTGGAGACAATAGACAATAAAATATTAGAACAACCTACTCGCTTGTTTATAAGTGGAAACCCTTTAGATTGTAGTTGTGCTGAAGAAACTTTTACAAATTTTACCCATAAAATTGTAGATCTTAAAGAAGCGACTTGTAAAGCTAGAAAAAGGTTAGTTTAATTTATGGCTATTTTTCAAAAAAACATTTAAGTCAAAATTCAATCTCTACCATTCCACTAACTACAATAATTAAATCCTCTTTTATTTTAAACCAAAAATGTTCAAACAAACCTTTAATTTTGCCTTTTGGTTATTACTTGAGTGCTAATGTTGGGGAATACTTTTCCCTTTATTGCGCTCCAAGGCGGTTGAACGAAAATACTTTTTTGAGTTGGAAGCTTCCTAATGGAACAATTGTTCAATCAGATGAACAGATAAAGGATACTGTTGTATTTAATATACCTACAATTATTCAATCTTTTACAAAAGATGGGACGTCAACTTGGATACCTTTTCATAAGCAGGTGATTCTTTCGAGCTTAAAAACTTGTTTGAATCGAACAATAAAACTTAAAAACTTGATGTTTTTATTAAACTTGAAAAACTTTGTCTAATGTTTAATTAAAATTAATAAACTTGAAGTAAACTTGAAAATTAGTTAAACTTGAACTTTGATAGATTAAAAACATTCTTTTATAAACCTACAAACTTAAGTTTGCGAATATGCATTTCTTATTTTTTTAAATTCTTAAGAGGCAACGTAATCCACGATTCGATGCTTCAACAAATTCTGACCGTTTAAGAAACATCCATAATCACCAACACCAACGAGAACGAGTTCAAATCACAGATGAACAGCTTAGATTTGAAGTAATAATGCTTGAGGTGCCTTCAAAAATTAATTTAAAAAATAAATTAAAAAAATTAAAAGGATGCTGGAGAATATATTTGTAGTGTAGATGGTGTCGAAGCTAAACTTAATTTATCAGTTCATTCACCTTCCATTCAAATTAAACCTGTTGAGATTGGTTCTCATTATGTTGCGTTAGTGTGGAATGATTCTTTAAAAGTTGGGAATTAATTTTTTAGAAATTCAAAAAATTCATTTAGATACGTGCTCTGGAAAGGGTTCAGTTATCTCTTCAAATTAGGGATTCAATCACTGGTCAAACCGGAAGAATCACACAACTATCTCTTTACAATCCTTGGCATAGCTACAACGTTGTTAGACTTCGTCCACTTACAGTTAGTTGAAAAACAATTTTTAGACTTGTTTATTGTACACCCAAACATTAATAAAAAAAATTTCAAAACTTACTCATAAACAATCTATGAACATGTTTAAATTAAAACATGTTTTGGAACTATCTAACAAAAGCCTTTATTAAAACATCATCTAAACATTCTCTACTCTAAAACATAAATTAGTAGGTATAAGTTAAAGTAAAACATGTTTCAATAATCTCAAAACATATTCATAAACAATTAAATCATTGTTTTAATCATTAAATTCAAACATTCTTCAAAGCATCTTTAACCATCTAAAAATCACTCATTTTCAGAACTACACAATTTGCCTTGTCTACAGCTTACGCTCAATTGAAGCAAATAATGATGTACACAATACCAACATAGATTCTTCTGCTAAATTATTATACAAGAGTTGTATCGACGTTAAAACTTTGGAACAAATGGGATTTTGGTAGAAAATTAATTTTAATTATTTAAAAATTAAAAATTAATTTTAAAGGTCCTCACTGAGTCCAACAACCATTGTTATTTTTTGTGTTTTAATTTTTATTTGTTGCTTTCTTTTCTGTTTTCGTGCAATTTATATGCATTTTTATATATGGCACGACGCGAAAATGCGGTGATTATTAAAAAACTTTATCTAAAAATATATCATTTAAAGTGCCCGAATGAATCAAAGCATGAGCGGACAAAGTTTTCTTTCACATTCTTCTTCCCTTCCGTTACCCACAACAACGAATTCAAACGGGATAAATAATAGTCATAATTCAGGTAGAAACAAACTTAATTTAAACAAATTATTAAACGAACAAAACATTTTTTTAACTTGTTTTTCAAACTTCAAGTTCACAGCAAAATTAATAAAATGTTCAATTAATTAATAAACATCAATAAAACATGTTTTTAAAATTCTTAAAACATGTTCAAACTAAATATAATAATCTGATCGACCATCCACCGTTTTCTTTCTATCATTTTCAATTTTTCTCTTTTTATGGCAAATTATTTATCATTCGAAAGAGCTCTTCGAGCTGAGGCATTGAAACTAAAATCAACGTAATTTGATTTAAATTATCAAGTTATGACCGCTTATTTTATCTCTTGCATTCCAACGTGGATTTAGCTTCTTAATTTCTCGTAAAATCTAACTGGATTTGGTATCATTCAGTCCTGCTCACAGAGTTCTTTCGAATGATATACATATAATAAATTATATCAATATCAAGCAAAAAAGCTCAAAATGGTCAGGGAAACATGTAAAAAGGTAGATGGTCAGTCAAAGTATTGCCCTTATAAAATATATTCATATTAAAAATAAAACATGATTTGATTTTTTTAACATTTTGAATAATAAACATGTTCAGAATATTATTAAAACATGTTTAGATTATTATTTAAACATGTCTGTTTACGTGTTTTTCTCAATAAAACAACAAATTAATTTAAGGTACTCTAACTCACCCTAACGAAACATTTTTTGATTCAAATTCGGCAACACTAAACAAAACATCATTAATAACCGAAACAGCCTCGGAAAGTTTAAACAAAAAAAGTTCAATAAATAAATTGTCCAAAATAAAAAGAAAATCAAAACTATCATCAAAACAACAAATAAGAGGAAATTCAATGTTTTTAATGGAAAATTCAGGGGAAGAGAAACATTTGAATAAATCAACGGAAAATATTGCTTTGTGTTAATTTTTAAATTATTTTTTTGTTTTAATTAATTTATAATTTTAATAATAAATTACTTCTAGTCAATTAAAATAAATTTTTTTTATTTAATTTTTTTTTAAATTATTTTTATTCACTAATATTAAAAAATAATTTCAAAACAATTAAAAATTATACCTTAATAAATCAAAATTGTACATAAGTCGAGTTTATGTCGATCCCCGTTATATCTGCAGGTATAAATTTAGATTCTGATTATTTATAGTCGTGGAAAAAAGTATGGAAGCGCTAGAAAATTTTTTCTTAATTCTTAATTTTTCATTCAAAAAATACGTTCTATATACCAATCGAAAGCTCTATTCGTATCTCAGTTGACATGTTTCTGCATTTTTCATGAAAATGAAAATTGACCGAGATAATCCGGATCTACCGGATATACCAAATCCCACTTTTTCGGAAAAATTTTTTGGAACAAATTTAACAAACCCAAATGATAAAGCTTATTTTTCTGAGTATTTTCCACAAAACCGCTAAGAAATATCTTTTTTCGGAGCAGAGATATGATTTTTTGAAAATCGCATTTTTCGTCTATTTTTGCAAAAAATTCAATTTTTAAGCGAAAAATGCGATTTTCAAAAAATCATATCTCTGCTCCGAAAAAAGATATTTCTTAGCGGTTTTGTGGAAAATACTCAGAAAAATAAGCTTTATCATTTGGGTTTGTTAAATTTGTTCCAAAAAATTTTTCCGAAAAAGTGGGATTTGGTATATCCGGTAGATCCGGATTATCTCGGCCAATTTTTATTTTCATGAAAAATGCAGAAATATGTCAACTGAGATACGAATAGAGCTTTCGATTGGTATATAGAACGTATTTTTTGAATGAAAAATTAAGAATTAAGAAAAAATTTTCTAGCGCTTCCATACTTTTTTCCACGACTGTAATCAAAGTAGATAAAGATAAGTCATTAATGTATCAAACACGGAAGCTAAAATGTAAAAGTATAAGAGGTGGAGTAAAATATGAAAAAATCATAATTCGAAGGTGATTGTATTCTCGAAGGTAATTCCTGCGACGTTGAAGGCGACAAGTACCTTAAAATACATATACAGTTAAGAAATACATATAAAATACATATACAACTAAAACAGAAAGAATAATCTAAAAATTGGTTCCATACAATTGAGATAAAGCCACTTTATTGTTAATGTCATATGACACTTTCCACATGATAGGACGCGATACTTTTTTATTTGAACAACAACTGAAGCATTTTTAGATTTAATTTTTAAATTTTTATTTGTTTTAAATTTAGGGGCCATATATTTATTGCCGTTTAAATAATAAAAAGTCAAATAAAAAAATCCGAATCAATTTTTTTGAGAACGGCGTGAGCCAAAAGATTAGGTTTGGCTCATTCTAAATTTAAGGGATTTTGGGAATAAAAGGCTTTATATTTATTTAAACAGCTAAAAATAAATAATTAAATTTAAAAATTAATTTTAGAAAAAAAATTAGAAGCAAAAAATATATCTACAATTGGTCTTCAATTTTTATTCTTTAAAAAATGATTTTTTAAGCTAACTTGGCCACTTCATTTTTAAATTTTATTTAATAATTTTCTTAATAAAAACACAAAAGAAGCGTTTTACAGTAAAAACTAACTGGAAAACTATTCCTTAAAATTAATAAATATTTACCTAAATTTGAATTTAAATTTCTAGAAAATTCAAGATAAATTTTATAAATAATAACGTATTTGTGAAATCATTTTATTGAAAATTATGATTTATTTTATTCAAATACATTTTCTTAATAATTAATCGTAATTTAGGATTAAGGTAGTACAGTGCGCGGCATAACTATACGTCCACTCAAAATTTCGGGTTTATCACATTAAATCGCGATAAAATTAATGAAAATATATTAGATTGGGATAAGGCTGTCCTATTCATACTAAAACTTAAGTAAGCATTCAAATATTTAAATAACAAATAGCAATTTTTAAGCATTTATGCCAAAACTCACGCGTCATAACTATACGTCCACTTCTATTTTCGAGATTAGGAGTGGTCTGAAAAATCTACAAAAATTCCTGTAAACATATCTATTGATATCAATAGAAAATACAAAAGAAACTAAGTTCTAATATATCTCCTTCATCGAGATCTGAAAACCCAAAAATCAATGGAAAACCGGGTTTAACGTCTTTAAAAAATATTTTCGACCCCTTAGAGACCGTATTAAATTTTGATTTCATACTTTTCTGAAAGCCCTTTAAATTTGCTCGGTTCATTTTTTTTTCATAAGTGTTTTTCAAGCCTAAAATTTTTCCTAATCAGGTGTCGGTCCGCAAGTGTGTCCCCAAAAGTATATTCAAAAATATGTATCAGATCTTAAATTTTTTTATATTTGAAATAATAATTTAAGAATTTAAATAAAAAATGTTTGCTTCTTCAACCAAAATTTGTTTATTTTTTATTTCAATTTTTACATTATTCCAATTAAACAATAGTAATTGTGTTGATATTGATAATCCCTGTAGAGGAAATGGCAAGGGAAATTGTTGTGTTGGAAGTTGTGTTAAAGGAAAATGTTATTGTGCTGCATATGGTCTTAAATGTACAGGAAAGAGACAGGGCAATTGTTGTGCTGGAAGTTGTAATAATGGAAGATGCTGTATTAATGAGGGACATGCGTGTAGTGACAGTAGTCATAATAAGAAATGCTGTTCAGGTTCACGTTGTGACGGATTTGTGTGTGTTTAGAAATTAAAGGAGAAAAAGATGCATACATATGAACTGACGATATAAAAATATTATTTGGCAAAATAAAAAACTTTTAATTTTCCTTTCTTAATTTGGTTGTAAAATTCTTTTCTTTAAACTTACAAGGGATATAAAATTAAATGATAATTAAATATTTTCTTTTATTTAATAAAGATAAAAAGATAATTTTCGGTTTAAATTATTTCTATTACAGGGTGCGGCAAATTTTCCTCCCCTTTTGTTTTGGCCATAACGGGTTCAAACTTAACAAAAAGCTCAACATTGAGAGAAGTTTACTCAGAGTAAATTTGAAATTTAAAGATCATTTAACCCCAAAAATTTTCTCAGAGAGTTGTGAATAAAATAAAAAAAGAATTATCAAATTTTGTTGAGTTTGAGCTGAGATATGTCCAAAATAAAAGGGGCGGAAAATTTGCCGCACCCTGTACATATTTTCTTATATGTATGTATTTTTTAAAATAAAAAAATTTGTAAAGGCTTATTTTAGAAGGTACTTGAAAACTGAAGGTAATACTTGCTTAATATTGAATAAAATTTCAAAAAAATTAATTAACAATTCTATACTTTTATTTTTAAAATCACAAAGACTTTACAATATTTTAGAAAAAATAAATAACAATATTTCGGCATTAATATCACTCCAATATTATAACAAATTCCTCTTATTTATTTATACATTCCTTCAACCACTTCTTATACTTTCGGAGTTCCAGTCTTTCCCTTTCCTCCATCCGAACTGCTGACCAAAAATAAGCAAACTGAACAGCAAATAGTTGAGACAATCCTACAAAATTTTAATTTTTATTTTGGAAAGTTTATGTGATTAAAGCTAAAGATTGGACTAGACGGCATCTCGAACAAAAATCTCGGTTATCAAGTATTAAGATATTTTGTCGGTTTTGACTCTTCTACAACCCTTCCAGTCCACTCTCTAATTATTTCAAAAAAAATTTTTTTAAGATAAACTTACAAGATAAGAATAGAGGCAGCAATCATTAAGGAAGTTAAGCTCCTTCCTGAAGATTTCGTACTAGCAATCCTTTTAATTTTTGAAATATTCTCTTCATAGTTCGTTGACTCAATGGTTTGTTGAAATATCGAAGTTTCAGTTGAAGTATCGAAAGTTTGATTTTTGGTTATTTCTTCTGAAGTTTTTGTTTGTTGCTTTTCGGTAGTCTGTTTTGTAGTTATAGTCGTTGTCTTTTTGTTTGGATTAAAAGGAACCAGAAGTTTATAGTCTTGACTAGACTAAATAAGAGAAATCTTATTTAGTTTACTCACAAAATAACCTACAAATTTAACAAACATTTTCTCACATTTTTGCATTGTTGCTTCCAGATCACAATCTTCCCCACAATGCTCCCAAATATTTTGCATACTTTCTCTCATTGCTTTTACTGGAAGAATGTGGAAGGTCAAAAGATTTTGGTATTTTTGTTCTATATAATTTGAATCCACAATTTTCCATCCTTCCGCGCTGCGAATATTTTCCCTTTTGAAACAAGTTGTGTCATGAAACAATACACGTTTGCCGCAGAATTTGATTTTACTAGATCCTAATTTGAAGAATAAAATATCTATAGTTGCACTTGAATCCTTCATATGGGAGGTTTTCTCGCATGGGTATATACCAACTTCGCCAACTTTAAAAGAAATTTTTGATTAATATTTAGATTAGAGTTTTTACGTGGTTGGTAACTTCCAAGCACATTTCCATCTGACAAAGCCCATCCAAAGGAATGATCAACTATCTGCAAACATTTACCACCAGACCCAACACAACTTTTTACTTGTCCATCTTCACAGTCATTATTATTACCATACAAAGGCCCTTTCTTAATCCTATCGAATTCGCCGTTTTTTAGACTGAAGGAGAAGGCCAATCTAAATAAATAAGAGTTGGACGGTATCGGGATTCAGAGGAAAAATCGGTATCGGTAATTATGGAATGATGATACCAATTCCAAGCTCGGGACGCGATTGGCCGAAACATGTATCGGGATTTGGGCCTCTCGGTATTAGTATCAGCAAAATCTGTATCGCGATCCAAAAGGACCGGTATAATACTACCGATACCGTTCGGGAACCCAATAACGCCCACCTGTAAAATAAATACTGATTTTTTGGATAATTAAATTTAGCATAGGCATGTATATACCTATTTTCGTTTATAGCACGAAATTTTTGTTTATTTTTATCATTAACAAATGCATCATCCAGACAGTCAGAAAGCTCAGAATTGTGCCAGATACCAAATTCCAACAAAAAAGAATCATGTTTTGTAGTGACAAAATCAGCAGAGCATCCATCCTCTTTTGTTTTGGAATGTTTAAGGTACCAAATAATTCTGTTAAAGGGATGGATTGTTATTAGAATATGTCTTTGTAATTTGCTTACATATTCCCATCCTTGTCCATTTCAACATCACAAGCGTCTGGAAGTTTTTTGTATTGTTCCAAGTCCTCGGGAGTTTCGGCAAGCATTGTATTGACCATCAACTTTTCAATCTTTCCGTCGCGCAGTTCATGTCTGCCATGCCCAACTAGATCACAATTGACCCAACATCCAAAGAGCAACACAGAAGTCGAGAACCATAAGAGGATGGAGACAGGTTTGTAAAGGTTTGAAGGGACATTGCTGCCGCGATTCAGCATACTGATAACCTTGACGTTAAGGAGATAATCTTTGTAATGGAAGAGATAAGGCTGAGATTATGCTGATACTTTTATAGTAAAATGTCTCACTAACAGTGACAAATGTTGAAGGGGACCGCCGACAATTGTTGAAGAGGATATCTGTTACTACTAATGTATGACAAAAGGTCGATAAGAATTCGATTTATGTTATTTTGAAAAAATTTCCAATTTCCGAGAATTTTTGAAGAATATTTCCGACTAAAGATTTTGTCCAAATTCTCAAAATTTTCTCAAAAAAAAAAGATTCTCAAAAAAAGAAAGAAATATGGCTTCTTGGCCCTGAAAAATTTCAAAATTTTCATTTTAGCGCCTTTGTGAATTAAACAATTAAATGAATTAAACAACATTAAACTGAATTAAACAACAAAAATTTGCCCTATGAGACCAAAAAATTTTTCTAATCTTATTAAATTTTGGTCATGTGTCTTGGGCAAAACTTGATTTTGGGTCTTGGGCCTGGGGTGTAGTATTGGTCTCGAGTCATGAATCCTTGAAAAAACTAAAATTTAAACAAATCACCAATTTTATACTTTTACTTCAAAATAAAGTTAAATATATTTAGAGGTTTTGAATAGCGAGAGAAAAATATAAAGAATATTTTAAATAAATTTAGAAAATTTAAAATTTGAAAGATAACAAGTCAAAAGTTTTCGAAAAATCAAATGGTTAACATATCAACTACTTCTACATATGTTCTTCTTAACTGATATAACTAAATAGGTAAATACTAGAGAGCGAGTTGGATCTGGATCAAGACCTTGATTTTTCCTGGATCTAGAGTCCAGATCAAGGCATTTTTCAGAGTTCCTTGAATTTTCCTTGACTCAAGGTCAAAAATCTGGTCAAGGTACCCAACCGAAATAAATGTCAAAAATCAAGGTCAATGTTTTTTTGAAAATCTCGCTCTCTAGTAAATACTTTCTTTAAATATGTTAAATTTTTTAAAGTCTCCTCAAAATCCTCTTCGATGCAAATGTGTTGGGCCCGAACTAGTAGAACCACCACTTCCACGATCCTTTTTATGATGAAGAGACAAATTGGACATATTTTTAGACATCTCATTATCATGTAATTTTAAGAGGTGATTTTGAATATTTGCCTTCTCATTTTCTAAACTTTCCTTATTTTGTAATAATTGAGACTTTTGCCATTCGTATTCGACTAGTATATGCGATTTCTGTGTATCACCGCCTTCAAACTTTTCTGAATCTTGATCTAGGATCCACTCATATTCCTCTTTATTTTTACTCAACTTAGTAGTAATTTGTTCAATTTCATGTGTGATTTGAATCAGACGTTGATTCAAATTGTGAATTTGGTGTTGAACATTTCTGTTCAATGAAAGATTTGACATTGCGTTTGTGGTAGAATTCTGAATATTTTTCGGATTTATTTAGAATAATTTTTAATTAAATAACCAAATTTTCATCCATTTCATCATTCTCCATCATAAATATAAATTCAAATTTTATAGAAAAAATTAAGAAAATTAAAAAATAATTTTTAAATTTCATTTTCTTAAAGTATTTAATTAAAATAAATTTAAAAAAGTTTTTATATAATAACTAGGGATAGGATTTCTAGGGTTTAACAGCACCTCTTCTTATTAAATTATATTTAATTTTTTTTTATTTTGGGGAGAATTTTAAATTTTATTTACTAAATATTAAATTATTTTAAGAGGATAGGATACATTTTTATAAAAGGGCCGGTTGTATTTTTATAAAATTTAAATAAAAAATTTGCCACATGCCCAAAATTAATTTTTAATTAATGGCAATAAAAATTGCAATATTGATTTAAATTTTTAATAAAATATTTATTGCAAGGTAAATTTAAATTAATTCCAATATAATATAGAAAAAGTTTAGTAAAAGTTTAGCCACCGGGCAGGATTGAACATGCGACCTACTGTGGAACACATTTATTAAAAAAAGAAAGTTTCAAAGGCTGTAAATTAAAAAATCCATCTCAGTATTGAATAATGGTTATCCCTTGGACCTATGTATAAATGATTATCCAAAAAATTTTTTATAAAAATCGTCTAGGACACGATATATTGAGAAAAATAGGGGTGCGGCTATAATTTTGGAACAGAGTGTATGTATGTACGAGTGATGTTCGAGACTCTCGGTCTCGACTCTCGAGTCGAGAAATTTCTCTGGTTTTTTGAGCTCTCGGTCTTAGTGTTTTGGTCTCGGAAAACGAGACTAAATTTAAACCCCTAATGACGGAAATTTTTCTAACTTTACTCGGACCTTGCGTACTTTGAGCCAACGGGCAGGATTGAACCTGCGACCTACTGTAGAACACATTTATTTAAAAAAAGATAAAGTTCCAAAGGCTGTAAATTAAAAAATCCATTTCAGTATTAAATAATGTTTATTCCTCGGACGTATAAATGATTATCAAAAAATTTTTATAAAAATTGTTTGGAACACGAAATATTGAGAAAAATAGGGGTGCGGCTATAATTTTGGAAAAGAGTGTATGTACTAGTGATGTTCGAGACTCTCGGTCTCGAATCGCGAGTCGAGGAATTTCTCGGGTTTTTTGAGCTCTCGGTCTCGGTGTTTTAATCGTCTCGGTTTTTGTCTCGGTCTTGGTGTTTGTTTGAGACTAAATTTACACCCCTAATGAGGGAAATTTTTTGAACTTTACTCGGACCTTGCGTACTTTGATATTAATTTTTATGGAAGTCTCCAAAATTCTCAAAATTTTCGCTTGCGGCGCTTAAAAATGGAAGAAATCTGGCTTCTTGAGCTCCAAAATTAAAGTTCTAAGCCCTATTATATATTTTATTATACTCATTCTCGTAGTTCTCCAGTAAAGTTTTTAACACTGTTGCGATTTAATTCATGCCATAACTTTCTACAATTAAATAAATGGCTAATAAACAGCTTTTTAATTTTTTACTTTTTCATTTAAATTATCTCTCTTACCCTTTCTTTATCTTTCCTCTATTATTTCTTCACACGTGGCAAAAAATTGGATGTTGTTAGCGGGCAAGTCAAGTAAAAAATTTTTCTCTCTCTCTCGCTTTTTCAATTTTTCTATCTGCCAAATTCTCCCTTTCAAATTTTTGCTCATGATAAAGTGCAATTTATGACAGGGCTATAAACACATTCAATTATTTGTTAAACATTTTAAAACATCCATGTTTTTAGCAACTTTTTTTCAGCATGTAGCATTTTTAGCAACATTTAGAAACATTTATAACTCGTGTAGCCAAAATGGACCGACTCGGACCGAAAGATCGAGTTTAACAATTCAGAATCCTAATAATTTCTTTTTATTTGCTGTTCCGCGCGAATAGACAGATGAGAAGTGAAGTGAACATTAGAAGCCTGAAAATTAAAAAGAATATTTTCTTTCAAAAATCCTTCTAAAATCCTTTCAATATTATAGAGCCAACAATAACGAGAGTAATTTGCAAAGTTTTCTTTGAATCCTTTTTAGTCCCCTCGCAGTAGCAATCATTTTGAGATGAAGATAGTTTTGTAGTTGAAAAGCTTGAAAATTTCTGGAAAATTTCTGGATTTCTAGCTTGAAAATTTTTGGATCTTAACAATTTTGGTACCATTCTCTTCAGCTCGATGAGTAGAATCGTTTAATACTAAATTTTGAAAGATTCGGAAATACCGAAGCAAGTTATGACTTTGCGCCTACGACTTTGCGCCTACGCTGTACCCGAGATAAAAACACGAGACTTATCATTTAGTTTAAAAATAATTTGTTGTTCAAATATAAAATAAGATTTGAGCTAAGAGTATAGTTTGATGTTTAGTTGGAAATCCTAAGGCAAAAGTGAGATTAAATTAACCACACGTACGTGATAAGAGGTAATAGTTCGATCAATTCTTAGAGATAAATCTTAAGTGAACGTTTTGCGCCGCACGAGCAAAAAAGTGAATTTTAATGTTACATTTAATTTCTCAGGCAAAATTTCCAATTATTTTTGAAATTGCTTTTAATAAGCATATTAATTTATAATTTATATATATTAAAAAATAGATTTTATCCACCACAATTTAAAGGGAAATACATATGTAAATAATTAAATTTTTTAAATATAGATTGATAGTGTGTATATCATTTAAACCCTCCATATATGTATTCTTTTATAAAATAAAGAAGAAAATTAAGATAGCAGCACAATAGGCTCTTCCGAATTTTTTAAAATTGAAAGCGGAAAGGTAAAAATGTCAGAATTCAGCCGCCAAAACCCGGAATCGGAAGACCTCCAATTAATGGATTGGTGTATAAGGTATACACAGACCCCCATTACATATTCCAGAGCAACAATCACCATTCTTGGAACATTTTAACGAATTAATTGTACATTTTCTACACACAGAATTATCACATTTAGAACCAAAACAACACATCCGGCCATTATCGTCACAAAAATTCCCGTCGTGAACGCAACCAGCATAAAAACATCTATATTGAAATACGTCCCCTATTATTCTTGAATCTTCTATTCTTTCATTTTTACAATTTAGCCCTTTACAACATTTTGAATTAATGTTATCGCAAGTTTCTCCATGTTCACTACATTGTTCTTGACATGTATTGAATTGAAATAATACAAAAATGAAGTAGATAAAAATAATTATTAAGGTATTTATTGAAGACATTTTTAGAAAATTCTTTCTTAAAAAGAGCTTGTAAATTTTAACAAATTTTTTAATTTGTTCTAAATAACGACTAATTTGTATAAAAAATGTAAAACAAAAAGTTTAAATTTTTTAATAAAATAATTTTGAAATCTTGTTTTTGGTTATAAATTTTGAACTAAATTTTTAGAAGCTTAAATTTGTATTTAAATTTTTAATAAGGAAGTTTCAGCCAAACTGCCAAAACTAACATGTTATCTCTAATTGAATTCCACTCTAATAGAATGCCCTCCTTTTTAATGATAAAATTATTCACATATTTCAGTTTTTCAAATTTTTCAATTATTTACGTAATAGATTTTATAGGCATCATGGAATTAGGAGCGATTTCGGAGTATTAAGGGGGCCCGATCTAGTAAAATACCGAGTGGGATCCTGTCCCACACCGACCTCTAGTATTTACAATAGATATTTAAATGATACTTTTCTAACTTCTGACTTAGTTTTCCTAACTTTGTTTACGAAATAAAAGCATCTAAAAACCGCAAAATAAGGGCTTAAATCATTAATATAAGTAATTAATTAAATAGTTTAAATATTAACTAAATTTCAAAAATATTTATATTAAAACAAAAACATAGATTTGGTATAAAAATTGAACTAAATTTTATTTATAAAAATTAATTCTAAAATTTAAAAATTTTTTCGGATCATTTTAATAAAAAAATTTTAATTTTTATACAAGAGAAAAAAATTTCTGTTCTGATTTTGTGTTAAAAATTAAAATATTTTTTAAATAACTACGATTTAAAACCTCATCATTTGTTAATTTAAAAAATAATTTCCTTAATTTTTTGTTTAAGCAGATTTTTAACACAAAATCAGAACAGAAATTTCTTCCTTTATTTAATAAAAATTAAAATTTTTTATTAAAATAATCCGAAAAATTTTAAATTTAAAATTCATTTTTATTAAATTTCCATCTCCATTTTATGTCGACAATATTTAGTTCAATTTTTATTCCAAATTTATGTTTTTGTTTGAATATAAATATTTTTGAAATTTAGTTAAAATTCAAATTATTTAATAAATTACTTATTAAGGATTCCATCTTTTGATTTTTCAACTTTCAGATGCTTTTATTTCGTATACAAATTTTGTGATAAGCATTCTTAATTATCCTATCTATGTATATATGACTATCATTAATTTAGTTTGTGGTATCCTATCCGCCATAAATACAATAAAATGGGTAGTCACAAAGGTCGATGGATCCGGATATCCAGATCCGAAAAAGGCCGGATATTCGAAATTTTCGGTTCGGATAACGGATCAAAATATTCGAAGATTTCAACTATCCGACAAATTTAATAGTCACTTTGGCTGCCTTCCTTAACCAGGGGGCATTCAAGTGTTAAAAATTGGACTTATTAAATTTGTTAAAATTTATTTTTAAATTTTAATTTTTAGGATTTTAAGCACCTACAACAAGCATTTAAAAAAGGCTCCCAAAATTTCAAAAACATCAATGTCTTCGATGAATATTTTAATTTTTATTTACTTTATTTTTGTATTATTTCAATCCGTTGAAAGTCAAAATTGTCGCGGAGAACGCCTAGAATGTGATGATAGAAACAACAAATGTTGTCGTGGGCTAAATTGTAAAAATGAAAGAATTGATAAAGTTAATGGTCTATTTATATTTAAATGCTACAAAGCTAACTGTATTCGAGATGGTAGAAACTGTGACGATAATGGCCGGATGTGTTGTTATGGTTCTAAATGTGATAATTCTGTGTGTAGAAAATGCACAATTAATTCGTTAAAATGTTCCAAGAATGCTGATTGTTGCTCTGGAATATGTAATGGGGGTATGTGTATACCTTATACTCCAGGAACTGGAGGTCTTCCGATTCCGGGTTTTGGCGGCTAAATTCTGACGTTTTTGCCTTCCCGCTTCCAATTTTTAAAAATACGGGAGAGTCTGCTGCTATCTTACTTTTCTTCTTTATTTTATAAAGGATTATATGGAAGGTTTAAATGATATACACACTACCAAACTATATTTAAAAAATTTAATTATTTTTTCCCTCTTTAAACTGTGATAAATAAAATTTTTCTTTTAATATATAAATTCACAATCTTATTAAAAGTAATATTTCTAATTAGAGTACATCTAGAACCAAGAATTCAAAAACCCCTGATATTTTTCGAGAATCTCGTACGAGATTGTCGTATTCTTATTATTTTTAATTTTACAAAATTCCTTTCAACTTTGGCTCTATAAACTCAAAGATTATTGCCTGTGGCGTTAAAAAACAAATTCAACAATAAATGTAAAATTAAATATTCAAGTAAATTCCGAACTCGTCTTCGTATTTAATGTATATTTAAAGTAAAGTACTTAAAAATCGGCCTACTACTCTATAGTAGTACGTAGGTTGTACTACATAATCAGGGTGACCATTTTCAGGTGCTAAAGGAAATATTTTTTTTCAGGGTTACATTATAATGGGTTGTTAGATAAATAATGAGCCCTTTTCGCATTTTTAGTCTTTCTTTATGTATAGGTATTTGAATTTTAGTTCGAATTATTTTACATTTACTATAGTCGATGGTTCAAGCTTTTTTCTACTATTCTAAACCATCTAAAAAATAAATTTTGATTTTTGCAATTTTTTAAAAAATTTTTAAAAATATATCCTCAAAATCTGAAATTCGGACTGTTATTTTGTATTGCTTCAAACGAGGTCTAAGTACAACCTCATTCGAGGTCTAAGTACAACCTTATTCCCCGGATATTGCGTCGTCTGATTACCACTTATTCCGTTTGATAAAAAATCATGTGCGAGATGTGAGGTTCCAAAATGATGCTCAACCCTCAAATAGGGTTGCCTTATTCTTTGATACCAAATCTGCCACTAGATTTTATCAAAGGGGAATTAAAAAACCTCACAGCATATGGCAAGATGTGATAGATAATAATGTGCATTAGATTGTTTCTTGATTTAATTTCATTATTTAGTTATAGTAAATTGTTTTAATTATGCGCAAAGGGCTCATTATTTATCTAACAACCCATTATAATTAATTTTAGAACAATTATTTTATTATCAATTAATTTTATATCCCATTGTTTCATTTAAGAAAATTCCTAAATTAAATACAGGTTTAAAGAAAATAAGTTGAAAGAAAAGAATTTAACAGCCAAATTAGGAAAAGGAAATTTAACATTTTTGTCTGGAAAATACTATAACATCTTCAGTTCAGAAACATCGTTTTCTCATTTCATTATCTCATTGCATTACAAACAAGTGTAACTATGCCCAATTTCACCTGGTGGCGTACAACTTGAACCAGGACAGCATCTTTTATCATTTTTGTCGTTACAACCACTCCCAGCAACAATACAACATGTTCCTTTATTAGCACCTTTATCAGAACAAAGACCAGCGCAACAATTACCCTTTCCTTTTCCAATACATGTACGTCCATATCCAATACAATCACTTTTGTTTATTTTGTAACCATTGTTTAATTGGAATAATATAAATATTGAAAGGAAAAATAAACAAATTTTGGTTGAAGAAGAAAACATTTTTTTGATTCTTTAAACTTTGAATGCTTAAATTATTTTAGTCAGAAATTAAAATTAAATATTTTATTTCAAAATATTTATTATAGTAAAGCAGCTGGGCTATAGCTATTTCTCTCCTTTAGCTTGTACAAAAGGTTAATCGGCGGCTGGGAGCGAACCAACATCTTCAGTAGACCGGACTGATGTGTTAGGCATTCACTGCACAGCCTTAGGAATTAAATAGCTATATACTTTACATTATGTGATATTTTTTTAATAAACCTCTGGTTTTAAAATTATAGAAAAATCTAATTAGAAATATTCGCCTCCGAAACGTTTTAGGTTCAAAACTGCTCAAAAATTTGGTAAAAGGCTATGCTAAAAAATTACGAAAATTTATGTACATACGGACAGTTATGGTCCCATCTCCAAGATATTAACAAAATTTAATTAACGGATTAAATTTTACCTATTAAAATTATTTTAAATTTAATTTCAAAATAAAAATATTAATTTAAATTTTAATTACCTCAATCAACATACCTGTATTTATATTACCCTAATCTCTACCTTTACTTTAAGATTTCCAAATAAACATCAACTATACCCTTAGCTCAAAGCTTATTTTATATTTAAACATCTGGGTATTTTCAAGTAAATGTTAAGTTTTGTGTTTTTATCTTCTCTATTTTAGTTTTTAAATAAATGGCAATTTAAGCTAAAATCTAGAAATTTACTATTTTTGTTTATTTAATGAGTGAATTTTTGGATTCATGGTTTTGAAAAAAAATTTTTCGTATTTTATTTGGTGTACTTTGCCTTTATTTCTTATTTTTGTAAATTAATGGCAAGTTTTGCTAAAATCTGAATTTTATTTTTTTGCTAAAATATTATTTTCTTTATTAATTTTTTAGCCGAAATTTAATTTAGAAAATGAATTTTTGGAAAATGAATTTTTGTGTCTTAGACTAATGATTTAAATTGATACACTCGGGAATCGTAGATTTTAATAAATTAATTTTTACAAGCATCTTCTAACCTGGAAGAGCAATAGCTGCCTAGATGAGTTAAGTCTAAATACAAAAAATTTATCATCATGTCAACAATAATAACAACAACAAGTATATATCCAATTTATTTATCTTTCTTCCACATCTTTATTAATCTTCATTAACACAGTCAGAACTTCAACGCCAGAATTTTTCATTATGAATAAATGAATCTTCTTCAACAACTGGGTCTTAAAGAATAGTTTTTGTCGTAATCAGTCGGAACGTCCTGTCAGATTTTAAAAATAAATCATTATCGTGATGCACTCCAACACAAACTTTAGTGTATCAACAAAAGTGATCTTATCTTAAAATGGCAATATTTTAATAATCTAATAATTATTTTTAACTTAAAATTTTATTTCCCAGGACGATATTTGCTAGTTTATTTTATTGAATTAGTTTTTACCAGTGAGCAGTAATGCAAAAGCTCCAGTTCCTGAACTGGAACCGATAAAGGTCTGGAACCAGTTTGAAACAGGAACCGGAACTGTAACCGAAGAGATCAAAAAAGCAGTTCCAGAACTGGAACCGGTTACAGAGAAATTTTGGAAATTTCGCATCACTATTAGTGAGACATTTTACTATAAAAGTATCTCCATGATCTCAGCCTTCTCTCTTCCATTACAAAAATTATCTTCTTAACGTCAAGGTTATCAGTATGCTGAATCGCGGCAGCAATGTCTCTTCAAGCATTTTCAAAACTGTCTCCATCCTCTTATGGTTCTCGGCCTTTGTGTTGCTCTTTGGATGTTGGGTTAAATGCGATCTAGTTGGGCATGGCAGACATGAACTGCGCGACGGAAAGGTTGAAAAGTTGATGGTCAATACAATGATTGCCGAAACTCCCGAGGACTTGGAACAATACAAAAAACTTCCAGGCGCTTGTGATGTTGAAATGGACAAGGATGGAAATATGTAAGCAAATTAAGGACATATTCTAATGAACATTCCTTCACTTTAACAGAATTATTTGGTACCTAAAACATACCAAAACAAAAGAGGATGGATGCTCTGCTGATTTTGTCACCACACAACATGATTCTTTTTTGTTGGAATTTGGCATCTGGCACAATTCTGAGCTTTCTGACTGTCTGGATTTTGCAGGAGGAACAGGCGATAAAGCCGATAGCCTAGAAAATTATGCCACTTTAAATGAAAATAGGTACATATCCAATATAAGTAGCTACAACAAAAAATTATTCTTATTTAGGTTTGCATTCTCCTTCAGTCTAAAAGGCAGCGAATTCGACAGGATTAAGTATGGACCGCTATATGGTAATGATGATGATTGTACTGATGGAGAAATGTGTAGATTTGGCAAAGGTAAATGTTTGAAGGCAGCGGATTATTCTGTTGGATGGGCTCGGATAAAAGAAAACATAGTTGACAGCCTTCAAGCAAGTAAAAAATTTTAATTGGAATATAAAAAATAATCAAAAAAATTTAGTTGGCGAGGTTGATTTATCCGCTTGCCGTAGATATTATTCAAATTATGTCAAGAAAACATCTTTTGGGGAAACATATACAACCTTCAATATTAAATTCAGCAGAAATGGACATGATACTTCCTGTGGCCCACCGAGAATGAGGAAGGACAAGTTCAAGAAAGCTATGCATTGTTTTAAAATGGAAAATCTTCACGTGCCGGAAGGATGGAAAATTATGGACCCAAACTATATAGATCAAAAATACCAAAATCTTTTAACCTTCCACATTCTTCCTGTTACTGCAATGAGAGAAACTATGCAGAATATTGAGAAATGCAATGGGGAATGTGATAAAGAATCAACAATGCAAAAATGTGAGAAAATGTCTGTTAAATTTGTAAGTTTGTTGTGATTAACCTAAATGAGATTTATCCTATTTAGTCTAGTCAAGACTATAAACTTCTCGTTCCTTTTAATCCAAACAAAAAGACAACGACTATAACTACAAAACAGAATACCGAAAAGCATCAAACGACCGGAAAGCAACCAACAAAAACTTCAAAACAAAAGGGGAGCATTTCAACAACTAAGGGAGGGAATAATCCGAAAATTAAAAAGACTGCTGCTACGAAATCTTCAGGAATCAGTCAGGCTACTCTATTACTTATTGTCTCTATAATTATTTTGTAAGTTTATCTGAAAGATAATTTTGTTTGATATAACTAGAGATTGGACTGGAAGGGTGTAAAGAATCAAAACCATCAAAATATCTTGATACTCGATAATCGAGATGTCTGTTCGAGATGCTTTCTCGGTCCATCCTCTAGCTTTAATCATAAATTTTCCAAAATAAAATTAAAATTTTGTAGGATTGTCTCAACTATTTGCTGTTCCGTTTGCTTATTTTTGGTCAGCAGTTCAGATGGGGGAAAGGGAAAGACTGGAACTCCGAAAGTATGAGAGGTGGTTGAAGGAATGTATAAATAAATAAAAGAAATTTGGTTATAATATTGGAGTGATATTAATGCCGAAATGTGTTAATATTGTTATTTTTTCTAAAATATTGTAAAGTCTTTGTGAGTTGAAAAATAAAATTATGGGAATGTAAATTAATTTTCTGAAATTTTATTCAAAATTAATCAAGTATTACCTTTAATTTTCAATTACTTTCTAAAATTTTATTAGGGTTTTTGTTCGAAGAATTTAAAAGAATTGTTTATTTTTTTTGTTACTTCACAAACAAAAAATACAATTTTAAAATTTTTAATAAAAACCAGATTGAAAAGCAAACAAATTAAAAATTGTCTGGTATATTTTAAAAATATATCTTAAACCAGACCTTGTCATGGATACGGATATGGATACCGGATATACGGATACCAAATATACCACGGATACCGAATATACGGATACCACGGATATAAAATTTGAACTTAATTTAACTTAATTAAATGTCCTAGATTTTAAAAAATTATGAAAATTTTTGCATATTTTTCAAGTGCGAGAACACTCTGTCACAAACACACTGTCACAAAAGTATAAGCACCCCTAAAATTTTTGTAAAAATACATGATCCCTAAGCATTAGTGCCAGTACGAATACGAAAGTACAAACACTAGCTTATTTCAAAATTCCAAAAACTAGTCACATGATCCAAAGCGATTTCCCTGAGAATAGCCTTACATGTTCGTGTTAGAGTGTATAATGCCACGAATGATTTCACTCTTTATTTAAATTTCTTTCGTATTTGTGTTTTTATCTCCCTTACCTTTACCTTTCTCCCTTACCTTAATTTGTTTGCCAAACCATTTTTATTTATTCCACGTTTATTCAATTTTATTTCTCTCCTCAAATGATAGCTTTTTATAAATGGGAGAGATTAATAGTCGTTTAGAGATAGAATTCGATAGAAACTTGAAAATTTACCTCCATTATTCAATTCTATAAAGCAATTTAAATAAAATAAGCGAGAAAAGCATATTTTATTTTTCCATTTAACAACATTTAAGTTTTCATAGGGCCAATCAATTAGAGGATGCCACTATTCTAGGAATATTATTCACTGATTGAAATTAAAATTTATCATATTACCACTTCAATGTATTTTATAATACCTGTGGTTTGCTGATAAATAAATAAATAAAATATGGGGAAAAACATAAGTAACGAGTAATTAAGAAAAAAGGATGTAATCTCAGTCAGTTAAGAAAATATGGCCTCGATACATATCTCGTTTACTCTTATCTAAACGAGGTATTTTCACTTGCGTGTGAGGTTGTTACTAGGGTTGTTCACTAACGTCTATTAACCGGGTCCCTCGGTTTTCGGTTAACCGATTGCGGGAAGTTAACTAAATTTGCGGGGTGGCCATTTTATTCTAATCTTTAACAATTTATTTTTATAGAAAAATTTTTATTCAAAAATGTCTTCAATTAAATTTAATCTTTTAATATTCTCAACATTACTTTTATTCCATTTAATCAGCAGCGATTGTCCTAAAAGTGGCGAAAATTGTGCATCAAACAAGAAATGCTGCAAAGGTTTTGATTGTAAAAATGGGAAATGTTGTGTTAATGTGAATGGATATTGTAGTGGAGAGAATGATACTTGCTGTGATAAAACGAAAAAATGTTCAAGAGTTGGGCATGCTGCTTTCCAATGTCAATGAAGGAGGATATATTTGGATATTTATAAAGAAAAAGAAAAATTATTTGATATGTGGGAAAATAATTAAATTTATTAAATTATTTAATTTAATTAGTTAATTTAATAAATATTTAATTTGATAAATGTTCTATTATTAACACTCTCTAAAAAACTAAATTCGTCAACTAAATTTAACCAAAATGGCAAATTCTATATTAAATTAATGATTTTTTTAGAAAAAATAGAAAGATAATTAAGCTTGTAAAATTATTCAGTGTTCAAAGGTCAAGTAAACATCTTATGCCAGTCATAGTTTTCGTTCTAATCAGCCCAACTCTTTAACAGAACTATAATTTAAATATTTGAAACCCCAAAAATGAGAGGGGTCCTCTTAGAATTCTTCTATTCTCAGGGAATTTGGTTCAAAATATCTGATAAGCGTTGTTCACTAATTCGCGATTTTTTTAAATAATCCAAAAATAAACATAAGACTTGATTTGTTTTTTAACCATTTTACTATTCTAATTAACTTTGTTTTTTCGTCTTTGTTTTTACCCAAAGACATGATCGAAAAAGGAATTTTCGATTTCCTTATTTCCAACAAGAAGTACAGGAAAAGCCGTGTTTCAATCCTATTATGCATTAAATGATTAAGTAAATTTTTTCTGCCTTTATCCTTAAGTTTACTTAAATTTCTTATTCGCTTCTTACTGAAACAAAAAAAATAAAATTTTATAAAAATAACATTATTTGCTTTTAATTAAAAATTATTACGGAAAATGCTTACATATAAAATAAATATAGAAAATATTTTTATTTATTTTCTTTCACTTTCTGAAAAAATATGAGACAACTAAATTTAACAGAAATGGCAAATAAAATATTAAAAGTAGTTGTTCCAAGAATTGACCCTCCTTACGTAAAAATTATTTTTTGTTCAAAATTTAGTTTTTATTTTTTTTTGTAGTTAAATGCCATTAATTATTCCAATCAGTGTAATGATGGAAAGATGTTGTATGGGCCGGGTATTTTAAATTGAAAAAATATTTAGAGGATCACAGAGATTTTTGGAGCGACATCACCCGACTTGAAAAATAAATCCAGATTTAATCCTAGCGTCTACAAAACAGCAGGGAAAGTGGACCCGGTTTCCATTCCGTTCCCGGCTCTAGGACAGTTCTACTAGTTTTTAGTTTGAAAATTTTCTATCTTGGACGCTTAAATTATCCAATAATTGGTTATATATCCGATATTTTGGTACTATAGTGCTCATCAAAGTTCCTTGTAATATAAGCTATAAAATAGCACGCTGAAAGTTATCCGCAGAGGGATATCAATTATTACCCTATAAATATTCTTCACTAAACTAATTTCTTTAGGAATTGTTTGGGAAATACTTTGTGATATGGCTAATCGTTTAAATCTTACTTATGAAATTGAAAATGTTGAGGTTGAAGGATGGGGAAAGAGATTTGAAAATGGTACATGGACTGGAGCTTTTGGATGTTTAAAAGAAGGGGTAAAAATAAAGAAGATTTAGAATGACTTTTAGAGACTTGCAGGAGTTTCTAGCAAAAATAATTTTAAAAGGAAGGCTAAAGATCATAGCTAAAAAAGATCTTAAAATTTTAAAAGAAGATTTTTATTATTACTAAATGATTTATCACTAAAGTGACATTGAATTTTTAACAAAATTTTTAGAAAGCAGAAATTTTGGCCGGCGGTTCGATGATGACACCAAACAGAAACAAAGCTTTTGATTTTTCCGATCCGATAGGTTACCAATCTAGTTCTATATTAATCAAAGTTCCAATAAGAGAAAATTTTGTTGCACAAATGTTGGCATATGCTTTTGGATGGAAGGTAAATTTTAGGAAAGAAATATTTCATAAAATTTTAAAATTATGTGAGAAGCATGTTTAGCTACTCGTCCCTATTTGACTGTAATCTCTCCTTCTTCCGTTAAACCTCGTTTGTCTCATCGTATCATAAACCAAATATAAATAATTATCGAGTTACGCCGACAATCTAGGCATTTTTTCGGACCCAACTTTATCGTGTTGAGTCTGTACGAGTCACTTAGTTCATTATGGCAACCTTATAAATAATGTTTAAATTACAATTAAAAACATCAAAAAATTATCAAAAATTAATTCAAAAGATCTGGCTATCTATTATTGGTTGTTTTGTGCTTGCTGGATTTGCCTATAGATTTATACAAAATCAAAATTTTGGATTTACAAGAACCACACAAACTAGCAATATATTAATTGCACATTCTTTGGTTTTCTTTAGTGGGAAAAGTAAACGAAAATTTTTACAAAATCCAAAAATTTTTTTTTCAAAAGAATTTTCTTTAACTAATAATTCACTATCTTCACGGATACTTATTGCTACAGTTTGGATTTGTTCGTTATTTTTGATGGCCTTTTTTAGTGCTAATCTAGTAGCGTTGTTTGCACATGGCGCTTCTAAGCTTCCTTTTGAAAGTTAGCTACAGTTTATTCGGTTTTTTAAATTTAGTTAGGTAAAGCGAAGAGAAAGTTAAACTCTTATATCCTTCTCGGCTCAAAGTAAAATTACTAATGATTTAATTAGATCCTCGCTAAATAACTGAGATTAATTATGCAATTTAAAGCGAATTCACTACAGTTTTTCATATGACTCCCTTTGTTGGAGAGAACATTGTTGAGGAAAACCCCAACTTGTTAGGGAGAACTTTTTCGTGGACGTCAATGATTATGTGCTACTGTTTGGATTTGTTCGGTCCGTTGTAAAACCAATGATTAAACTAGATCCTAAACTAGATCCTTTTCCATTAATAAGTCAATGAATAGTAGCATGTCGGAGATCGTCGGGCAATAAACTAAAAATCATCGTTAGGCGGGAGATCAGGAACTAACTAACCCTACTGATACCCCTTCCCCCATTGCCAACTTCCAACAAAACAAGAAACAATAAAACATCCGTTTAATTCATATAGCTCTGGAAGAACTTGTACGTCTTGTTAAATCTGGAGAGTATAAACTCGTTTTGGACATAAAAAGCACTGGAAGGATTGAAATGATTGAAGTTTTGAATTTTTAAAATTATTTTTCTATTAATTTTTTAAAGGCTTTCACTGACGACCCAGAATTTTCAAAAATTATAACAGATAAAAATTTAGTAATTCTTGTGGATAGTTTAGAAGATGGAATTAAGACAGTACAACAATATGAGGGAAATGCTGCTTTTATAGCCCCTTCTGGCCGTTTACGTGTTCTGGCATCTTTAGAGTAAAAAATAGATTATATTGGGATCTCAGACTTTGATTAACTCAAAATTTTTGAAATTTTAAGACCTCTTTAAAATAATTTTGTTCCGTTCTTAGTATAGAATGGAATAATTAAGAATAGGGATAACTAAAAGCGGATCGTGACGAATTTCATAAAGTACTAATGAAAATTTAATTAAAATTTTTTAACAAATTTTTAACAAGACTTTGGTGATTTAATTAGTATGCCTACGAGGGATGTGTTAGTTTTGCCTTTCGTATTAGTCTCTCGCTTTCTAGAACCAGTTTCGACACACCCCTGATACTTTATAAAAATCCCCTTAATTGATCATCTAAATTAATCCTTGTTCTCTTTTTTAAATGACCATTAAGAAGGTATCTCTTTCGAACAGATTAGAAAATAGATCTAAGGAAAGGATTAATTTTAAGACTAAAATACATGAAAGGTGGTTGGAGGAGGGGGGAAGACCTTAAAATCTAATTAACAAAAAATTTATCAATTTATTTAAGATGTAATGTAACAACAATTCCAAATCGTGTATTAACTACTTATTTAAGTATAGCATTCAGAAAAGGTTCACCCTACAAAAATTATATTAATAAAAGAATTCCTCTTTATTGGCAAAACGGGTTGATTCGTAAATGGATGGTTGAATATTCTGGAACCTTTGGGAGGAGGAATACCTCCCATCGATGTTCTGAAATTAATGATGATAGACTTAAAAGGTTTGGAAATTTCTGAAAAAATTTTTTTTGAAAATTTTTTAGAGGAATTTTCGGTCTTATCCACTTTCAAGGAGTTTTTGCCCTTCTTTTTGCTGGGCTTGGGATGGCTTTAGTTGTGTTACTATGTGAAATATACACAAGTTATTATAGTTGAGAAGTATTCTGAGATACCATTAGTCAATTGAAAGTCAAAATTTTTCTGATTTACATAAATTTATTGATAAAATAAAAACTGAAATTCTATTTTGGCGTAATTTTTGGAGTAGAGATCGATACAGAATAGCCAATGTAGATAATCCCCCTTCATAATCCCCCAAAATCCTTTTAATCCACATATCCACAATATAACTTTACTTCTTCTAAATCTATCGATATCCACCTTAATCAACTGATATTTACATTAATCGCTTAGAATCCCTTAATATCCCTAACCATTCCTTCAAATCGAACGATTTTCTTTATCCCTCAATGCCACCGAGGCTATAACTTCGTTCAAAATTGTCGAATCTTAGACAACTTGGTATGCTTGGATTCAGCTCGTCGAGGCATATCGAAACATACCAAGGCTTACTGGATTCAACAATTCTGAAAGAAGTTATAGCCTCGGCGTTAGGTTGGGCTGCGGTAGGTTGGCCTGCTCCCACCGAAACCGGGGTTCGAAAAACGGCGATAATCGGAACCCGGGATCATGTGCCTGTCCTAGGCTAAAATTTTGCTTCTCCGATATTGTTTTATATTCTAATTTAGAAATACCTTTCCATAACCACAATTTTTTACACTTTTCAAGGCAATTTAAAAATAAAAAAATTATTTTATTAATAATTTGAAAGTTATTTAGCAATTTAATTTAGCGAGATTAACGGGCCGATAATTTGAGAATGTAAATCAAATTTAAATAAAATTAAGAATTATTTAGAAAAAAATATTACATAATAGATTTCATACTAGCCAATAAATTCTATACCAAAATTAATTTTAATTTTTCATTAATATGATAATCATGAGCTTTTCTAAATCCAATTTTGTTTTTACTTGAATAAACAAAAATCATAAATTTTACCAAAAATCAAATTTAAATTTTAGCCAAAATTGCCATAAAATACAAAAATAGAAAAAAACCCTTTCAAAACTCAACTTTTTTGGCAAGAATACCCAGTTGTTTAAATATTATAAAATTTTGTAACTGATGTTTGTGAGTGAATTCTTAAAGTAAAAAGTACAGATTAGACAATATAAATACTTTTATGTTGAGCTTGGTAATAAATCATTATAATCTATTAAATTTTCCTTTTAATTATTAATTTAATTTTATTACAAAAAAATTTGTAGGGGATTTATTAATTAAAGAAATTTTATCCCTAAACTGATGTTTACTTTAATCCTTCCAAACCCCAGAGATCACTCTTAATCCTTTTTAATCTTATTAAACTATTGGGACCCAGTCGTGATATATACAATATATAAAATATATACAGTATATACAATCCCTATATATCACTTGAATCCTTGTAATCCTTAAACTCCAACTTAATCCACCTCTATATCCTTTCAGATTCCCTTAAGCCTTTCGATATCCTACGAGTCCATTCATACTTTCGGTGAAGTTATTCACTAGTTTTGTCGGTTTCAAACCGAACTTAAAACCCAAAGACTTTCGGTTCGGTTTATCGGTTCGGTTAACTAGCCAAAACACCGGTTAACGGTTCCGGTTCGGTTATCTACCGCCAATACCCTAATATAAATAATAAAAATAAAAAGATTTTCAAAATTATTTTAATGAAAACTTTAAATTTATTTTTGTACATTTACTTCTAATTAAACGTTTTTTAGACAAATAAAAAATTATTGGAATTCAGAAGCTTTTTCTAAAAAAGAATTTTTGGTAATATTGAAGCGTACAGACACCCTTTTTCCCTCCCCAATTTTCCTAATATATTTTTACGAAATGGTCAGAATTTTTCCTTTCTTTCATCCAATTTGCCTTTCTAATTTATTCCTACAATCAAACAAAAAGGATTATTTAATTTTATACAAGTGCAGGTACATGCAAAAAACAACTAAAAGGAGGTTAGGGAGGAAAAACATGAAATAAAATATCAAAAATAATCCGTTTTGTTTGATTGTAGGCAAAAATTAGAAAGGCAAATTGGAAGGAAGAAAGTAAAAAGTCTGACAATTTTGTAAAAATATACGGCGAAAATTGGGGAGGAAAAAAGGGGGTCTGTACGCTTCAATATTACCAAATTTCTAAATAAAATAATGCCTTCAATAAATATTTTAATTATTTTTATTTACTTCATTTTTGTATTGTTTCAATTCAATTCAAGTCAACAATGTAGTAAACATGATGAAAAATGCAATGATAAGTTAAAATGTTGTCCGCATCTAAATTGTAAAAATACAAAAATAAATGGTGCAATCTTCGTATATAAATGCTCCTATGGTAATTGTGTTCACGAAGGTAATCCCTGTGATGACAAAGGACGAGGTTGCTGTTATGGTTTTAAATGTAATAATCGTTCTTCTAAATGTGAAAAATGCTTAGTTGATGGTTCGGACTGTGATGCTGCATATAAATGTTGCTCAGGAGAATGTGATAGTTCAGCACTCAAATGCTATTCATACAACTGAAAATAAAATTTTTCTTTTAATTTTATAACTGAAATTACTTTTGGGGAACTATTTTCGCTTTAAATTCATCTGTTGAACAAGCTTTATAATCATTTTTTACTTGTCAAAATTTTCTTTTAAACTAACTGAAAGGGAGACTTTCTTTGGGTATTAAAAAATTTATTTAATTGTTTTTACATAAAATTAATTAAAAACTTCCAAATTTATTTTTCTTAAATTATTTAATAATTTTTTAAAACCGAAATTTCACATGGATAAAATATGAATTGAATATTCTGGAAGAATATTTTAGCCAAAAACCGTTTTCATTTAACCATAAATAGAGAGTCAATCAAAAACCGAATACTGGGGTCGTAAAACAGCTAAAATTGAAAACTGGGGTTACTGGTTAATAACCGGTGGTCGCCAAACGCCATGGCGCACAGCCCTGGTTGTATCCCACCCTAATTAGTTGTGTTTACTCCGAAAAGTTCAAGCCTTTTTTATGATCTTTTTATTTTCAGGTAAAAAGATTTTACTTGAATAAGATAACATTAATTTATATCCAACTATAGGACTTTTGTCTTGTTCGGTGGAAACTAATTTGGAAATGAGATTTTGTTAAAGCGTTTTGTTTATAATAATAACAATTATATATTAATTGAAGAATTATTTAATTTTTGTTTTTTTTGTTCGAAAGTTGTTTTTAGATTTTAGTTTCGTCAACAATAAAAATTTCTTAAATATTTTTTAGTTTTTTTTGTTCTGAAAATAAAATGTAAATATCCCGCTCCCACCCCAGCCTAGATCTCAGATTAATTTGAGATCGAAAAACGAAGGAATAAAACAGAGCAGGAGCCACTGAAAGCGTCATTCGAAAGAAAAATCTTTTTTACAAATTTATGGATAAGTTTGATCATCGTTAAAATGAAATAAACCGATAAATGTGAAAAACACCAAATAACTGGAACTTATCGAGCTATAACTTTTTAATGAGTGATCAGTCTTATATATTAATTGAAGAATTATCCATCCTTAAAATAAGGTACCGTTTATCTAGAGCTTTCGAATGACGTAAAATTTATTTTAATTGGATCAAACAATATCGAACTCTAATTAGAAGTAAGTTAGAAAATCATTAAATTCCACAATAGTCAATAAATTATTTTAAAAAATAATTTTATTTTTCGTTAATACTTATGTCGAGTCATGAGTAGAGTCCGGATTTTTATTGAAATAAAATCACAAAATATGGCCATAAAATATTGAAATAAATGGGCGAAATATTGACAAAAAATGCCAAAAAATAGTGAAATATTGAAATAAATTATGGTTTATTAGTACTTCGTTCAGAATCATAATATTGAAAAACTAATGGCATATTTGGGCTTCTCTCGATATAGTGTGTTTGCAAAAAAAACATTTTATTTCAATAAAATCCGGACTCTAGTCATGAGCCTTTCTAAAACAGAAATAATAAATTTTATTAAAAATAAAAATAATAAAATTTAAATTTTGCCATAATTGCCTTTTAAAAATACAAAAATAGAAAATAAACCCTTCAAAACTCAAAATTTCTCTTGAAAATACCCGGTTGTTTAAATATTAAATAATGGAGAAAGCATAAAATCGGTGAAAAGTAGCGTGATGTTTATTTTCTAGATTAAAAATTAATGGTAGATCAGGTATAAAATGGTACAAAATTGTATAAATGGGTAGAAAGTACGTTTATTTAAATGAATATAAATACTGATGTGAGGAGGTTAAGTATTCTTAAGTAAAGAATTTTTATAAAAATAATGTCTTCAATAAATATTTTAATTATTTTTATTTATTTAATTTTTGTATTATTCCAATTCAATTCATGTCAACAACAATGTAGTAAACGTGAAGAAAAATGCAATGACAGTGATAAGAAATGTTGTTCTGGTCTAAATTGTAAAAATAAAAGAATAAAAAATGGAATATTTGTATATAAATGCTCCTATGGTGCTTGTGTTAACTTAGATAATCCCTGTGATGACAATGGACGAGGTTGCTGTTATGGTCTTAAATGTGACCCTCTTTCTTCTAAATGTAAAAAATGCTTAGTTAATGGTTCGAAAAGTGATTGGGCAGCTGACTGTTGCTCAGGAGAGCGTGATGGCACAACAGGCAAATGCTATTCAGACCAATGAAAATAAAATTTTTTCTTAAATTTTATAATTGGAATTACTTTTGGGGATTTATTTTGGCAAAATTTTCTTTTGAACTAACTGAAAGGGAGAATTTCTTTGGGTCTTTAAAAATAAATTTTTGTTTTTTTTCATAAAATTAATTTAAAAACTTTCAAATTATTTTTCTTAAATTATTTAATAATTTTTTAAAACATTATTTCATATGGATAAAATATGAATTGGATATTCTGGATGAATAATTTACCCAAAAACCGTTTTCATTTAAACAAAAACGTCAATCTAAAACCGAATAACGGGGGCTGTAAAACGGCGATAATCAGAACCGGGGTTGTTGGTTAATAACCGGTTGTGTCCCAAACTAATTTTAAGCTGTGTTTACCCCGAAACTTTTCGATTCGGGGAACTATGTCTTCACTTTTTTCGGGGCGGGGTTCGGATCTGAATAAATGTGAAAACAACTCTTACGGTTACAACTTATTAAAAAACCAAAATTTAGTGTTCTTAATTTTTTGTGAATTTCCAGCTCTATAATTGAGTCCGATTTTAATGATTTTAAATAATAGAAACTAAATTTGCCTTCTTCTCGTGATTATCCGTATTTTTGCAAACTGTCTAACGATATTTGGAACGCGTAATTTTTTGAAAACTTATCATATCTTTTGATTAATTATAGATTTACTAAAAACTTTAATAAAATAAGGAAGAAAAAAAGTAAAAATTTTTTGGGGGTGTCGAGATTTTTTGGAACGGACTTTATATCGAATCTTAACAAAACAATTTTCCTTTTCTTGTTATCATTTTTACTACGTAAAATAAAAATATTCTATCACTATTTTTGTTTAATTAAAAAAAAACAATCCATCCATTCTGCTAAACAATTTCGACCTTCAACACATTCACCGATTATTCAATGCTTTTATTAATCATTCCTTTCACAACAGTTGTTGTTTACACTTTTATTTAATTTTTTAATCGAAAACTGATTTAATCTAAAATTTTTTGATTAAAAAAAATTGGTTTAAAAGGCTTTGGAATTGTTTATTGCTTTTTAGTTTGGATTGTATTTAATTGAAAAATAATTTATTTATTTATTGACTTCCTCTTTACCAAGTATAAGGGATTGTTAGAGAGACAATTGAAAATTTAATGAGATTTTAGAAATTAATTTTGACTGATTTTATAGAAGAATAAAAATATTTTTCTCTTCAATTCTTTTAATATTTTTAGTTTTTGACTGAAATAAACAAAAATAATTTGGAAAATTTTAACTTCAGGACCCGAAATAGAACTTAGCGAGAGGTACGTCTCGATAACTCGGAAAATCTTGATTCTCGATAACCAAGTTTCTTGTTCGATTTTTGTCGAGATCTCGTCTCGGTCCGATATCTATTTATGAAATTTCTTTTCCTAACTCCCTTCATTTACTCCTAATCTACTCCTTTTACAATAGTTTAAGGGGAAAGCTAACGAAATTTTAATTTAAAATTCATTATTTGTCGAGCTCTAATTTTTAAAATTAAAAGAAAATGGTTAAAAATCTTGCAATATTTCCTTTTATTATTTCCTTTATAATGTTTCTTCTTATTTTCAATTCAAATTCTATGCGTCAACAAGCTATAGGAGCTAAAGGAAGATTGTTGTGTGGAAGTAAACCTGCAGCTAATGTTCTTGTTAAACTTTATGATAAAGATACAGGCAAATTTTTAAATTTATTTTAGTCTACAGGTTTTACTATAATTGGCTTTTTCACGTTTAAAAAGAAATACTCTAAATTTTAGAAGGTTTACATAGATAAACCAGGAACTCATGTTAATAGGCGTTGAGTTTATTGTTTTTTTGAACAATAAATTATTTTTAAATTTCTTGGTCTTGAATTTTTTTTTGTCTTGCGACAAAAACACACTCTAAATTTCAAGGATTCCAAAATACACACCCTCTCACATACATTATCTAAAAGAAATAAATTCTAAATCAAGATATAACATGGAAAGGGATTCTACAATGAAGGGGCATGTCTCTAAGATAAATAAAAATATAAATGTATTTTTATATATTAAGTAATTTTCCACATAATATTTTTCATTTTATTAAAAATTTGTTTGTTCATTTATTCCGAAGTACTTTTTGTTTGTTTTACAATAAAAAATAATTTTGCAACAAATTAATGGCTACTTTTGTGTTATTTCCTTTTAAGTAGATTGTCTTTGTAAATCAATATAGAATTTAATATTTTTTTAAAAAAATCCAAAAAATTCCAGGAATGGATCCAGACGATCAATTAGATTCTACCCGAACAGATGCAAACGGTCATTTTCAATTGGCGGGAGATGAACGGGAAATGACCAATATTGATCCTCAATTAAAAATATATCACGACTGTAATAAAGGGATTAATGTAAATTTTATTTAAATTTTTTATTAAAAAATTTCGCGCGAATTTAATAACTAACCTGGGTAATTATTGTTTCGACCTTCCACTGTATGGAGCAATCAATCGAGGGGAGGGGTGATTATTTGGGGTTTGAAATTTGAAACTGTTTTGGGGCATTTGTTTGGGGGCAATTATTATTTCAGTCTATCCCTGGATGGGGTAATTAATGGAAGTGAAATAATTATTTGAGGGAGTCCAATTAATACAAGTTATACGGTTGAGGTCTGTCTAAATTAAAATTTAATAGCTCCTTTTAAGCCCTGCCCTCGTAAATGGATATTGAATCTCCCAGATAAATACATATATTCTGGCCGTGCTCCCCCCAAAGTCTACTATGATATGGGCGAAGTTAATCTTGAGGTGGAAATTGAGGGAGAGTCTTATGATTGTATTCATTGAGAGAAAAAGATTAAGTTTTTTAATTAAAAAATTTTTTTAATTTTTAAAATTTGACAATATTGTCTAAAATATAAAAAAATTATGACTTAGGTAGCTATAAGGCTAATTAATACAGGCTGAACTAGTACAAGGCTGATCTATTAATCATAGTGCGACAGTTGGGGACGACATTTAGAGATTGGGGACAGACATTGGGGAGAACTTTCGAGACCGCGTTTGAGTAAAACTTTTTTTAAATAATATCAAGGGATCTGGAGAGATTGAGTGAGATATCGAGAGATTTTGAGGGATTAACCGGGGTATCGAGGGATTAAGACGGCGTGTAGGATATCAACTAATGATTAAAATCGGTAAAAGGAATAGGCTTATGTTACTGCGTACAAAACCTATCAACCATTGATTCTCTCCGACTACCATAAATTTACTTGTTTTATTTTTGTTCCGCTTAACCCAACTATCAAATTTTAAAAATTATATCTTAATCCCTCGATACCATCTTAATTACTTGATACCTCCCTTAATCCCTCAAAATTTCTCGATATCTCACTCAATCCCTCCATATCCCTTGATATTATTTTTTAAATATTGTTTCCGTTCAAAAAATAATGCCAACCCTGTTTTAATACCAATTGAAAGCTTCTTTTAAATATCCACCAGAAAAGGAAAAATTACAAGATCACCCCTTTTATTTTCCCAATTTTATTTGTAAAATTAGTACGTTAACAAATAAGACATAAGACTTATTGACGTAAATAAATTTGTGTAGATTGACAGAAGCAAAGAGAAAAGATAAGAATTTTCATTTTTTTTATCAGTTTATGATTTTATTACTTTAATAGACAGAATGCCAATAAATAGGAAAATAAATATTTGTGACATTTTATTAAAGATAAAGCAAAAAAATGGAGAATTAAGGGGTATTTTTAGTTTATTTGGTAAAAATGAGGAAAATGAAGGGGAAATGTAAGGGGTATTGACGTAAATAAATTTAATGGACTGATTGGGGGTAAATAATTTTTGAGAAATTATAATTTGAGAAATTAATTTTGTATAGATTGTTGTTAATAAATTATTATTTTTATTTGATTAATGGGCTTAAAAGATAATTATTTTAAAAAATAATTGATTGGGCTTGTTGGGATTATTTAATAATTAATTATTCCTAATTTCCAATTTAGCTTCCCTCGATTATTTTCAGTCAAAACTCGATTTTACTTACGCCTTTAAATAGAACTGAGGTTCGGCTTTAATAATTTTTGTATAGATAGTCCAATTGTGTCAGGGATCGTACACCCTAAACTTTCTGGCGAGATTATGGCCTAGAAGCTCATCCCAGCGCTTAACCAAGATTAAAATTTTTGACTATATCAGCTAACTTTAGGTCTAAAGCTAGTCCAGAAAGAAATCAAAATAATTCTCTGACCGCTTAAATTACATATGTTTTCAATAGATGTGACAATAATATCCTTTAACCAAATTATCGCTTAGCCAGCTTCTGCCAGCTTCTTTTTTAGTTATAATTTTTGTTAACTACAATTCTATTCCAAATATCTGAATTAATATTAATTTAAAAAATCTTTTTTTCTGTGAATTTGTTACAAAATCTCTGTTAATTACTTACTTAAAAATCTAAGTTCAAGGTAATTTCCACTTAAAAATAATTATACCAATTCCCTTTATTCTATCTCACAGCTGTTCCTAATAGCTTTTTGCTATCAGCAACGATCATTTAAGTTTTTTAGTAATCAATTTGCGATTAAACTTTGAGCTCTTATTTTTATTTTTTTTGCGAAAAAAAACTTTTTTTTTAGGTATTTTTAAGTAAATCTCAGTCTAAACAAGCCAAATTTTTTATACATTTTAGAAGGTTCGAAAACCCTCTATCCAAAATTAGCTTCTACTGGCTGGAAAAGACATACAAAAGTTTAATTCACTGTTTAAAATTTAAAAAAATATATTTGAATTTTTATATATTAAGTAATAAAAAAGGAAAAAATGTTAAACTAGTGCTTTATTCTAAGAAATTAACCAATTCTAAGTAATGCAATATTAATTTCAGTTATGATTTTCTACGGAATATATTTTTTAAAAATTTTAATGTTTTAAAGCCCAATATTGTTTTATTTTTGGGGATTAAATTTTTATAGTATTTTTAAGCAAATCCCAGTTTAAACCAAATTTATTTTAAAAATCATTTTGGAAGGTTCGAAAACCCTCCATCCAAAAATACTATATAGACCTCGAAAAAGAAATTTCCTATTTGATTCACTGTTCAAAATTTAAAAAAAATATATTTGAATTTTTATATATTAAGTAATAAAAAAGGAAAAATTATTGCTTTCTTCCAAGAAATTAACAAATTCTAATTTTACTTATGATTTTCAACGGAATTTTTTTAAATTTTAACAAGTTCTTTAGCCAAATTTTTTTTGGGAATTTTATTAATTAAAAAGAATCTTAGGTCTATTTTTGAAGCTAAATTCAAACAACTTTAATATAAATTATTATCCAAAGATAATTAGAAAATTAAACAAAAAAGATGGCATTTCATCCCATTAATCAGCCAAAACAAATTTCAAAAAATCTATTTATTTTTATCCTCGTTTGCTTGTTTTTAACAACAACAAAAGCCTTTAGAAGACAATCAGCAGGTGTTAGAGGGGTGCTATTTTGTGGAAACAAGCCTGCTAGTGGAATGCTTGTTAAATTGTTTGACGAGGATGACGGTGAATAATTATATTTTTTACTTTGAGAAAATAAGATTTTTGGCTTACCAATACAATTTCGGGCAGTCCAAATCGGTAAAAATAGGTAGTATTTAGCGATTTCTCGTATGAACTTACAATCACAAAGGGACGATCTTTGGAGGGTCTTATTCCAAATTAAATAAAAAAAATTTTTGGATATTGCATAATTTTTAGAAGGTGAAATTATGATATTTTTGATTATGATCATAATTATGATCTATCATATTTTACTGATAAGAACTTGAAAAGGCTCTCCTCAAAAATTTATTTTAGATAGAAACTATGTTCATTTTATTGCCGAGCATATTAAAAAAACTTATCCCAAAATAGTTTATAGTATTTAGATAGAAGGTATAAAGCCAGTTATATCCATATTAAATTGGGGATCCCCGACACTCCCGACCCCAAAGGCTGGGGCGCTGCACTAGATTAAATATTTATACTACAAAAAATTTCAAAAAAAGGTCCTGATCCCGATGACGAGTTGGACAGTGCCTACACAGACAACCAAGGGCGTTTTGAATTGAGTGGGTCAACGATGGAGTTGACAAACATTGATCCAGAATTGCGAATATGTAATAAAAAATTTTTAAAAGAAATTTTCTTTTAATTTTTAAATTAATTAATTAGATCATGATTGTAATATGCACGTTCCTCTTTGTAAACGGGAATGGGTTATTCGAATTCCAGACAAATATATTTCTTCTGGAACTAGTGCCAAACGATTTATGGAATTGGGTGCTGTTAATCTTGAAGTAATTTTATTTGAAATTAAAATATTCTAATAGACGCCCACTCTCTAATAAAGTCCATTTTAACGGGGAAATTGTGAATTTAAAGTCAGGGGCAGTTATTAGAACAATTTCATTAATTAAAGTATTTTTCCTAAATGTGCGACTCTCTCTCTCTATACGGGCACAGTAGTCACTATAACCTAAGTTTAAAATGTAATTTTAACATATTTTTTAGCTTCTTGTGTCAGTAAATTTAATTTGAAATAATTAAGGGAGTCCTAAAGAACTCCCGGCCCAAAAATTATTCTCTTCGATCAGTTGATAAACCTTAACGTTTGATTGAAACAAAATATTTAAATTAAATAAAAAATATAATTTTGTATATTAAGCATTTTTTCTTATAGTAATTTTTTTAAATAAAATTTAAGTCCCTCGTTTAATAAATATACAATAATCTAGGGTAGCTCTTGGTCCCCGTACCCGACGATTTTTTTGGCAAAAACCCCGACCCGAACCCCGAAGGCTCTACCCTGACAAACCCCGATCCCCGACGCAAACCCCGAGTCGGGGTAAAACATACACCCCTAGGATGGGAATTTTTGAGAATTTTTCGGAAACTTAAATGACCAAAATAATTTAGTCAAAATATTTTTCCAAAAAATTATTAAGAAAGTCAAAATATAATTATTTTACAGGTTGAATTGGAAGACGAAAGTCGTGATTGTATCCATTAACAATTACAGTAAATTGCAAAAATATTTTTATATTTCTTTTAAAATTTAATAAATTTATTTAATTTTTAAAATTTAAATTATTTTAATTGTTTTTTAAACAAATTAATTTTTTTTAATTTTTATTTAATTTTACAATTCGGTTATAATGCCATTTAGATATAAAACCTTTCTGGGGTCATTATAACTAAAGTATAAATTGAAAATCAAAATCTCTCTAGCCTTTTTCCTTAAGAAATCCTCAAAAGTATGGTTGCTAGCTCGGTCCGGTCCTAAAGATCGAGTTGGGCATCGAATTTTGGCCTGAAAAAGACTCGGTCCGATAAAAATGAGTCCCGACTCGAAAACGGCAACCCTACTCAAAAGGGATTTGGTGGATTTGGGGTGTACATAATTTAGGAAAAACCCGATGATCTTTCGTGTATTTCTGGATATCCTAAGATCTTCAAAAAACCGTCAGCTCTATAATCGTGATAGATTTAAACGGGCCAATTCCTCCTGTAATCTCTATTTTTCCTAAACTTAATGGAGGCTAGAGAGGACGATAATTAAAAAGAGACACTTTCTTAGAGACACTTTCTTTAATTAGAGAGACACTTTCTTAGAGAGACACTCTCTCTATTGGAATTAAATTTAAAAGTTTAGAAATTAATAGAAATGGGACGTTATTTAATTATTTATTTAACAATTATATCAACTTCAATAAATATTTTATTAGCATCAATAGTTCCTGAACAACATAGCGGAATACAATCATATAGAGTAAATAGTGATAAAATTTAAATTATGATCCATTAATAAATTTGAAGGTAAAAGGACGTTTAATGTGTGGAAATCAGCCAGCAGCTAATGTCCGAGTTAAATTGGTGATTTTTTGAAGTTGAAATAAATGTAAAGAAAAAATTTTTCTGTTGAGGTTGATGACGATTTTGGCCCAGACCCAGATGATGATATGGACAGTGGATATACCGATACACAAGGAAACTTTCAGTTAAGTGGGGATACTACTGAATTGACAACAATTGATCCTCATTTAAAAATTTGTTAGTAATTAAATTTAATTTTTGAAGAACTTTCAAGTTCAAATCCGGAATTAATCTTCTTCATATTTTGGGAAAGAGTTTGAAGAATTTGAAGAAAATATAACAATTATCTATGTCATCATAGGAGAGAGTTTAGGGCGATTAGAATTTTTATTTATCGAAGGAGAGTTCACAAAATTTTGAGCTCTTTGATTAGAGATCGGACAAAGACGAGAACACGTTTAATAATCTCGTTTACGTTATCTATTATTTTTAGAGTTATCAATCTTGCTGGTAGCTAAGCTTTAACTATTATTTTTGTGGGATTAATGAAACCATGGTTTATTCCCTGTAAACATTGGATGGATATAGAGAGGATTAGAGTTATTTTGAAGGGTTAATAAAAAATATAGTGGGGAGCAAATATAGAGAGGCCTTTGAAGAAAACGTCTTTCAAACGATACAGCACTGAAAGAAACACAAGTCTTTTCATGCTATAACCCTAAAATTTACTTTTTTAACAGAGCGCAGATCATAATTAATTTTTTTTTTCAAAAAAATAATTTTTTTAAAGATCACGATTGTAATGATGGACTTATTCCATGCCAACGTCGCTGGAAATTTGAATTGGTTTAAATAATTTTAATTCTAAAATAATTTTAATTTTAAGCCAAATCATTACATTACAAGTGGCAAACACCCTCACAAAACTTTGGATATTGGAACTTGGAACTTAGAGGCGAAAATGCCGGGAGAAAGTCACGATTGTATTCATTAAATGAAAAAATTAAATTTTAAAGATTTTTGTGCAAAATATATGAACTGAATTTTGATAATGAATTTTTTTATTTGAATCTATTTGCTTAACATAATTAAAAGAAGGCATAATTCTTTTTATTTTTAAACTGAAGACTAAAATCTAAATTTTTCTTCTTCCTCTCATTTTTTAAAAGTAACCGAGCACGCGTTTTTGGCATATCTTTCTTCAAATTTTCTTTATTTTATTTTTAAAAAATATAAAAAATCGTACATAGAATTAATTTATGTAAAACAGAAGGATTTATTTTTATCAATTTCCAAGTAAATTGAGTAAAGAAATAATTAGCAAAATAGTAGATATCCTAAATGCTTACCCTGAGTAATTATTGTTTCGATATTAAAGGGGGTAATTATTCGAGCATTTACGGTATGTGGGTTTTTGAATTAATTTTTTAAAAATATCCAAGAAAATTCTCCTTTACAAGACCCTAAAAGAAAGTTTCAGAATTAAAGAAGGATTAAAACTTGATTAAAAGGGGGAAAACGAAAAAGAATCTTAAAAAAGTAGATGAATATCCCGTTATAAAATTATCATTGATCATATGCAGCACACTTTATTTTGTTAGGTATATGAACAACATTTCCAGAGCAACATTCAACTACTCCTTTACAAAAAGAACCATTAAGTTTACATTTTTCACATTTACGTTCATAACAATGATATCCATAACAGCACAATTGTCCCTTCTTATAATCGCAGAAATTGCCTTCTTTAACACAATCGCCATATAAACAAGTAAATTCAAATAGGGTATTAGGCATTTTTGTATTTTTACAATTTAGCGCTTTACAACATTTTTTATCATTATCATTGCATACTTCATTATGTTTGCTACATTGTTGACATGTATTGAATTGAAACAATACAAAAATGAAGTAAATAAAAATAATTAAAATATTTATTGAAGACATTATTTTATTTAGAAATTTTTTTTAACTTGTAAATTCCAATAATTTTTTATGTTCTAAATCGTGTTGGGCCAACTCAAGGAACAGACCAGAGTTGCGTCGTAATCAAAAATTTTTTTCGTAATCGTAATTCGTAATTTTTAAAAAATTTTCGGAATAGCAATTCTTAACTGAAAAACGCCGTAATTGGTAATCGTATTTCTAAATTACGACGCAACCCTGGAACAGACAAATCAAGGAACGAACAACTCGTAGAACGACCAAATCATGGAAATTTAAAAATCGCATTTTTTTGAAAAATCTGAATATTTTAAAAAAATAAGAGTATTAAAAACATCAGAATACTTTAAAAACATAATTTGAAAAAAATTCTGATTTTTAAAATATTCCATGATTTGGTCGTTCCTTGATTTGTCTGTTTCTTGAATTGACATTCCTTGAGTTAGCCCTCCCCATTTCTACATAAATAATAATTTTTGCTAGAAAAATAATGAGAATTATTAAATAAATTTTAAAAATGTAGTGGCCAAAATTAAATTTAAAAATTATTTTATAGTCGTTTAAAATTTGAGGAGATCAATTTGGCTCAAATTTTTGAACCTTCAATTCTTATTAATATTTAAATTTAAGAATTTAATTTTTTGCTGTTTAAACAAAAAATAACATTCGAAAACCGATATTTTGAAAGAAAAATACCACAAAAGGATCAATTTGGCTCGAATTTTTGAACCAAAATTGTTGTTAACCGCCCATAGAATTCGCTAGGTAGAATTGAGAGCTTTGGGACTTTCAAAACTTGACTTTTATTTATTTAAACAGCAATAAAATAAATGCTTTTAAATTTAAACCAAATGAAAATTTAGAAATAAAATTAAAAAATGCTCCCTTTTTTGGTTAGGTAAAAAAAGTATTTGCCAATTTTCGAGGTATCGTGTTTGTAAGTAATGATGGCACATTTGCCATATGACAGTGAATACGACCAAACATTCTATTGAATACATATAGCTTTTCATTTTATGAAAACTACGTATCGATGTTATTTTTCGGTATTTATTGGTATTCCGTATCGGTAGTACGTACGGAATACCGTCCGATAAAATTTTGAAGATGATCGGTATTTATCGGTATCTGTATTTTCTGTAAATTCGGTTCACTAGTTGTATCTACTGCCGCTCAACCTACGCGAACCCAACCTACCACTGCCCAACCTACCGCGGGCCCAACCTCCCGCCAACATTTCTCTTTGTTCGAAACATCCCCGTTGATGAATAAACCTTGACATTTGTTGGAACTTCCAATTTTTCAAGTTTTTACTAGACCCGTCATAGGAAAAACATCGTTGTTGGAACAACATCCCGAAGAATTGGAACAACATTCACCGTCGTTTTGCCTTGTTGGAACAACCTCTTTCTGTATTGGAGCAGGATGCCTGATTGTTGGAACAGTATTTCCACTTGAAAAAACAACATCCCACGTGTAGGTCTTCCGTTCTTAGAACAATGTTGGGGGTAGGTTGGGCGGCGGTAGGTTTGGGCAAAATTCGTAGTATAAAAGCCAAAACTCACAGTATATTCAATTTTTTCGAAACTTCTGTGATGCCTGCTATTTCTTTCTTCGTGCGGTTTGTGGCAATCTTGTTGTTGGTTGTCAGCATTGTCTATTGTGACTTGGTTGGGCATGGCAAGCATGAGCTGGTCAACGGGAAGATTGTAAAGCTGAGAGGAAACACAAAGATAGCTGAGAAACCTGAGGACCTTGAACTCTACAAAAATATGCCGGGCTCCTGTGATGTTGAGATGGATAAGGACGGAAATATGTAAGTTTTGGGTGGCTTTAAACAAAAACTAACTCCTTATTTAACAGAACACTCTGGTATCTTAAACTTTCCAACACAGCAAAGAAAGGATGCTCGATTGATTTCGTTATGCCTGATATCAGCACCATGAATGTGAGGTTCGACTTCCCCATGTATTTTGGTATCCAACACAATAAAGAATTGACGTATTGCTTGGACAATTTTAAATACGACAAAGCAAGTGAAGCAGCAGCTTTAACTTCTAATATGTTTGTTTTATTGAAAAATTTCATTAAAAATGTAATTTTTAGGTTCGCTTTCACCTACAGTATAACAAATGAAGAATTCTATAGAGTCAAAGGAGGATATGCGGAGAGGCACAATATTTTTTGTGTTGATGCGTCGGAATGCAATGATATCGGAGGCAAATGCTTGGATGTTGCTGATTATTCTGTTGGATGGGCTCGAAGAGGAGATTTTGTTAGAAGTGCAGTTCAGCAAAGTGAGGAATTTTTATTTTCTACGAAGGCTGATTACAGTCGTAATTTACTTGTAAAACATCCTGCTTCAATGTAGCCTCAAATAGACATTCCCATAGGCGCGCGGCCATAACGGCGCAAAGTCATAACTAGCTGGAAAATTTCTAACCCTTATCAATTTTGGCATCAAGTTTTTTAGCTCGATGAGAGGAATCGTTTAATACTAAATTTGTTAAGATCGAAAATCTTGAAGCAAGTTATGGCTTGCGCCGTTATAACCGAGCTCCTACTTGGGCTCCTATCTTTTTACTTGGGAACCGCTTTAGTTGGGGAGTCTCTCTCCGCTCCTATCTTTTTTAACTTAGAATTTAACTTCTTTAATTCTCAACTTATTTTTAGTTGGCGAGTTTAATTATTGGATGGCCAATACTAGAAAGGAGTATAATCAGCGTGAGATAGAATCTTTTCATTATTTTGATACAAAAATGGAGTTAACAAGCGATGCTGGAACCCCTAGCACTTACCGCTGCTTCAAAAATGAAAATGTTCGCAAACCAAAAAGATGGAGAATTACGGATGAGGACTATACCAATAAATTATACGGGCATCTCTTTACTTTCCACATTCTTCCAAGATCTTCTATGCAAATGAGTATGCAAAATATTTTGAATAAATGTGATAAAGATGCGGATAAGGAGAATTGTAATGAAAATGCGGCATTCCAAAAGTGTGACAAAATGTTTGTGAAATTTGTAAGTTTGAATTTTTGTTAAATCATACAGTATATAGCCAGGAGTGTGACATTTTGTCCTTTGTTATTTAAAAAATTTTCGGCCAAATTATCTTTTTTTATTTTTCTAATCACTTTTAATTAAGGATTTTGCCCTCTACAAAGTGCTCGTTCCTGATAATCCAAAACAAACGACTACAGAACAGGGATGTCACGGGTCGACGATTGCGGGTTTTCGGGTTGAGATTTTTTTCATTTTCTTATATATGGAATTAATTTGAAAAAGTGTATATGGAGTAGGTTAAAAAGAATCCTGAGACTTTATTTTTGGTCCAATTTTCAAATAATTTTCTATTTGTATAGCTTTATGGTTGACAGACAAACTGCCAAGAATTGGTCAAAAAATTTTAACTTCTGTTCAAAAAGCACGCAAAAAAAAATCGTGAAAATTTGACAAAAATTACTCCGTATACACTTTTTTAATTAATTTCAGATATAAGAAAATGGGCAAAATTACAAACCCGCAAACCCGCAATTTCGACCCGTCGACTGAGACGACAACGAAGGTTACCTGCCCGCCTGTTGTAAACTGTCCATCGTGTGTCAGCTGCCCACCTGTTGCCAACTGTCCGAGTGTTGCTACCAATACCATACAACCAGAAAATTCAACCGAAAAAGGCGAGACAATGCCTCAAAATGGAAGTAGTTTGCCTGGAGTACCGTCAACTTCAAAACCATCTTCACCTACAAATGATTGCTACAACGAGGAGACTAAAAAGGATTCAAAGAAAACTTTGCAAATTACTCTCGTTATTGCTGGCTCTATAATATTGTAAGGATTTTAGATGGATTTTTGGTCCAAAAAAATAATTTTAAAATTTTAGGCTTCTAATGTTCACCGCTATTCTCATTTGTCTATTCGTTAGCAAAAGCAAATAAAAAGGAAAGGATTCTATTTAGTTGGATAAATATAGGAATTGTTGTGATATTTGTTATTTAAAATTGGATGTTTTATATATCGCTGTATATTATATTGTTGTAGTTGT